CAGACTTGTAGAAGATCTGCAGCAACTTGCTACAGACATTGAAGGACCTAGGCGTCCTCAAGAAATGCAGTCTGCTGTGTCCCTTCTTGTAAACGGCTTCGCTGTTCTTTCTCTAGTCCAGTCTGTTGTCCAGGTGAACTCCAAGGTACTTGTATTCCTTAACCCCCTCCACTTCTTCTCCCATGATGGAAACAGTGTTTGACTCCACCCAGTTTCTTCTGAAGTCTAAAATCATCTCCTTTGTTTTGTTCACGTTCAAGGTCAGATGATTGTTTCCACATCATGCCACAAAGCGCTCCACCAGCTCTCTGTACTCAGCTTCCTGTCCATCTCTGATACACCTGACAACTGCAGAGTCATCTGAGTATTTCTGTAGATGACAGGTCTCTTCTTGTACTGAAAGTCAGGGTGAAAAGAAATGGTAAGAGTACAGTCCCCTGTGGTGCTCCAATGTTACTGATCACCTGGCTTGATGTGCAGTTCTTCAGCCTCACAAACTGTGGTCTGTTTGTCAGGTAGTCTTTAATCCAGGTGATAGTTGAGGCCCCCACCTGTGTCTTCTGGAGTTTCTGGCAAAGTACATCAGGCTGGATTGTGTTAAATGCACTGGAGAAATCAAAGAACATGACCCTCACAGTGCTGCCTGCTTTGTCTAGATGACAGTGGGTTGGTTGAAGCAGCTGGATGATGGCATCTTCAACTCCAACTCCATGGCAATAACTCAACTCCAACTCCATGGCAATAAGCAAACTGTAGCGGGTCCTGGTATGTTCTAGTTTGCTTGTCCAGGAGGACCAACAGGAGTCTCTCCAGGACTTTCATGATGTGGGATGTGAGGGCAACCGGTCTGTAGTCATCATTGACTGATGAGCGAGTTATTATTATTATTTTTTTTTTGGGGACTGGAACAAGGCAGGATGTCTTCCACAGGACTGGAACCTTCTCCTGGGCCAGGCTGAGGTTGAAGAGGTGCTGCAGAATCCCACAGAGCTGCTCTGCACAGCCCTCCAGTACTCTGGGGCTGAACCCATCTGGACATGCAGCCTTGTTCCTGTTCAGTCTCTCCAGCTGCCTCTTCACCTGGCTTCTAGAGACAGACAGGTGGGAGGGGGAGGTAAATGGGGCAGCAGCATCTCCTGACTTGGTTGAAGACAGATTTATAGAACCAGAAGAGTCCATGACTGTGTTAGAGGACAAAAGAGCTGGCGTGTGACAGGAAAATGTTGGATCAGAGGAGGATGGGATGTCTGATTGGCTGGGGACAGGCACGGAGGATGCTGGGTTTGTTCCTGAACTGAACCTATTGAAGAACTTGTTCAGTTCATTGGCTGTGTCCAGGCTGCCATCTGTGCAATCCTTTCTCTGGTTGAAGCCTGTGATCTTCTTCATCCCTGACCAGACATCTCTGATATTGTTCCTCTGTAGGTTGTTCTCCAGCTTCTTCCTGTATGCCTTCTTGCTGTCTCTGATCTTGATCTTCAGTTGCTTCTCTATACTCCTCAATAATTCCCTGTCTCCCTCCTTGAAGGCTCTTTTTTTCCTCATTTAGCAGATTCTTCAGTTCACTGGTGATCCAGGGTTTGTTATTAGTGAAGCATCTCACTGTTCTGGTGGGTATGATGTTGTCCATACAGAAGTTTATATAGTCAGTGACACATCCAGTCATGGCATTGATGTCCTCTTCATATCCTTGGCAGAGAGTCATCCAATCCGTGGTCTCAAAACAACTCTGCAGGGCTTCTTCAGCGTCCTGTGACCATTTTCTCACAGTTCTTCTTGTCACAGGTTGCCTCTGAACAAGTGGTTTGTATGCTGAGCAGAGAAAGACAAGATTGTGATCTGATTGTCCCAGAGGAGGTCTTGTTTTGGACATGTATGCATTCTTTACATTTGCATAACACAAATCGAATGTCTTGTTTTTTCTGGTGGAGCAGCTGACAAACTGTTGAAATGTTGGAAGTGTAGCAGAGAGCGAGGCATGATTAAAAACACCAGACATAGCCACAAATGCATTGGGGTGCTGGGTTTCTAGCTTAGCGACAACAGAACTGATGGCATCACATACACTTTCAACAATGGCTGAAGGTGGAATGTAAACAGTTGCCAAGACAACACTGGTGAAATCTCTTGGCAAATAATATGGGCAACAACTTACTGCCAAGAGTTCAACATCTGGGCTGCAGAGATGATATTTCACTGAAACATGACCTGGATTGCACCATTTGTTGTTGACAAGCACTGCCACTCCACCTCCTTTTCTTTTCCCACTCCTCTTAAGATCTCTGTCTGCTCGTACAGTCAGAAATCCTAGCAGAGAGACGCTGGAATTGGGGATATGGTCCTGCAGCCACGTCTCAGTAAAACACATAACACTGCACTGCCGATACTCTGGCTGAGTCCTTGAAAGGGCTTGGAGTTCATCCATCTTGTTGGCCAGTGATCTCATATTGCCCATTATGATTGATGGAAGAGATGGTTTGAATTTCCTCTTTCTCTGTCTCCGTTTTGCTCCCGCTCTGCACCCACGCTTCTTGTGTTTTAGCTCATTTGGGATTTGTGGCCTCAGTTGAGGTCTTATTTCAGCCTTTCCAATGTTAATCAGCTGCTCCCGATTGTAAACCAGCTTGTTGTCTTGGTTACCCATCATAACAAATGCTCAGAAAGTGAAAAAAGTGAAAAAAATTGCACTAAAAATCCTCTTTGCTTCACAGCACCAGAAACAGAAAAGCAAAACGTCCAAGAAACACCACTTTTCTTGAGAAACCAGAAGAAAAAAATCCAAAAAAAGGCAAAACTTACACATAGTCAACAGAGCTACTCCAACATGCAGCCACCCTGAGCAGCGCAGTTCTGGAACCATGTATTAGTATTACCAAATTTATTAGCAAGCAAAATAATATATATTTTGAGAATTAGAATATAATGCATTAATACAGTTTCAGTTGCTTCATATAATTAAAACTAATTGAAAAATAATAATAAATATCCCTAACCATCAATCATTCTTAAATATTTCCTACTTTTTATTTCTGTTGCAGAACTGGATCAGCTTCTTCTCACCAAACAAGGGGTGAAAAAAAGGCCTTGGAGTTCAGCTGAGAAAGCAGCAGTATGGCGACAGCTTGGAAAGTACATGTCCTTAGAGACAGTTCCTGGTAAAGTACCATGCCTTAATGCACTTAAGACAAAGCCAGAGCTCAAGAGTAGAACCTGGAAAGATATTAAAAACCAAGTCTACAACTCTATCACAGCACAGAAGAGGAAACGGCTGTAAACTGTTGTGTTCGCATGATTGTTCGTGGTTCACCTGCCTCAGTGTTGTGAGGTGGATTTCTTTTGGTGTGACACAATGAGGCCTAGGTGTGTTGATGTTAGGCATGTTTCTAAGCTTATATATATATATATATATATATATATATATATATATATATATATATATATATATATATATATATATATATGTGTGTGTGTGTGTGTGTGTATTTTTTTCATTTGTAACAGATGTATGTTCATACTCTGGCTACAATTATAAAAACTACATTTTAAAAGGCACTTTTCCCCCAGTTTCTTTTTCAAAAGCAATTAAAGTTAAAATAACGAAAGCTGTCATTTAAAATGTCCAGCTATTTATAGGATTTTTTAAAAATCCTTGTTTTTCTGTTTAATTTAATAAAAGAATGCTTTGCAAAGAAATTGTTTCCTTTTAATGAAACTGCATGCATTAGTCTAAAATTTATATATAAACCAAACGTAAAAATCGGGAAGACTGATTTAATTTTTGTACTTGACAAATACAATGTAATAGATAAATGTAAAAATCCCAGCACTATAGCTGCTAGACTTGCTAGAATCTATATCTATCTGTCTATCTATCTGTCTATCTGTCTGTCTGTCTAATAAATTCATTTTTATCTATCTGTCAAATACATTATCTATTTATCTATATAACTATCTAATAAAAAATTCATTTGTATCTATCAAACTGTAAAAAAAAAACAATATATCTATGTGTATGTATGTGTGTGAATGTTTATGTGTATGTATCTATGTTTATTTATATAAATTTTACATGAGATAGTTTGGTTTGAATAGAAATTCTGATGTTAAGGAAAAGCGCAAATCTGCCCGGCAACAGGAGTATGTCCACACAATCACTGTAAATAAATACAAGCTTTTAGTTTGAGTTTTCCCATATTTTAGGTGACATTCTGAATCTCTACTCCCACCTAGAGGCAAACATAATTTTTGCACCATTCTGGCTATAGTGGAAGTCAGGTTCCTCTCAAAAAACTCAGAAGGCGTAGTCCACACAAACCCATAAAAACACATATGTGTGTGTGTATACTTGTATTTATTGGTTTATGTGGACAAACTTTTACTTTTAACCTGTAGTGTGAGGACCTTTTCACATTGTGGGGACATTTGGTTGGTCCACACAATGTGAAAATACCCTAAAATGTGGTTTTAGAGATATGGTGTGAATTAACTTTTTTTATGTTAGGGTTAGGAATAGAACAGCATTGGTTATGGTTAGGACTGGGGTATAGGTTAGGCATTATACAGTCACAAAAATGAAAAAAATTACATGAATGGAAGTCAATGGAGGGTCCACACAAGCACATGAATACAAGTGTGTGTGTGTGTGTGTGTGTGTGTGTGTGTGTTATTTTTTCTGCTTTTATTTTACTGCTTGCTAATTCAACACCCATGTGTAATCACCACTATATGAACTTTTGGGAGCTCTAACACGGAAACACCTGTCAGCCCTCTTAAAGTTTCATAGTGCTTCAGATCTGATCGGTGTCAGCTACACTGATAAGCTGCTCTATTTCTGGACTGATCTGTGTGACAGCATTTCTAAAGAAGCTGCGGTGAGTGTGAGTCAGAGGGGCGATGAAGAATTTATTTAACACAAATGAGTTTTAGCTCATTATTTACATTAGATAGCTAAAGCAGTCTGTTGTAGGTTCATACATCAGAATGCAGAAGGTTTTTTTTACCTTCATCTTCAGAGTCATCCTCAGCAGCAGTATGATCCTCTGATTCTTCTTCCTCAAAAGACTCCTCCCCTTCGTTCTCTTCCTCCACAGCATTCACATCAGCTTCATCATCTTCTTCCTCAGTACCTGCCTCCTCTTCCCTCTCCTTTTCAGTTACGGCCTCCTGCTGCTGTTCCTGTTCCTCCTCTTCTATAGTATCCTCATCAGTCTCATCATCCTCTTCCTCAATATCATCATCTTTGTCATCAGCTGCCTCTTCTTCCTCCTCATCATCATCATCATCACCAGCCCCTTCTTCATCTTTAGCGTTTTCCTCCTCCTCAGAGGTTTCATCTCTTTCCTCTTCTTCTGCATTCTCCTCTTCCTCATCAGAAGCCTCTTCATCATCTTCTTCACTTGCTTCATTATCTTCCTCTTCTGCTGCCTCTTCATCTTCCTCAGTGTCTTCACCATCATCAGCAGCTTTGTCTTCCTCAGCATGTCTGTTATGGAGGTCGTCCTCCTCTTTGCTTGCATCTTGGGCATTGAGGAGTGGGACCAGTGGTGAGCAGAGGAGCACCAGTAGGAGTGGGATCACCAAGCTTCTCACAGGCGCCATCATGGATCTCTGGAGGACTTTCTATTTTAGTTCCGTCACCACAGATGTGTTCTTAACGTCTAAAGTCCATAAAATCCCTTAAAAAAAATGCAACGTGGCAGCTTAGCGAGGGATATTGTTCACGTCCAGACTGAGAGGAGGGCTGGGTTCATGAGCCTGAGAGCACTGAGCTGGGCTTGTGTTGAGGACAGAGGACACAGAAGTGTGTGCGCTGCAGTTGCATGCACATGAGTGACAGAGGCACATGCCTGGGAAGAATGCTCCTGAGGTCCTTAACACAGAGTATTAGAGGGATGGGGGTGAGTGTGTGGATCACCGAGGTGGCTGTTCTGGTCTGCAGAAGGTCGGGTAAAAAAGGTCACATGGAAATAAGAGGGTGGGGAAAGTTTAACCAGTTTGTATGATAAACTCAGGGTCTACCTTTAAAGTAATTTGGGTATTTATTGTTTTACATGTGTTTCAAATGTAATGTTTCCGTAAAAATTCATAAAACAAGCTTGATTTTGACGCATTTTCAAGACTACCTCATTATCCAAACTAGAAAATTCCGAAAAGCACTGATTTTGGTTTTTAGCACTGCTGACACTGATTTATCTCCTAGGATTATAAATAATATTACATTTTTATTTATATATATGACAAATATGATTTTCTACATGGAAGCGCAAACTAATAATAAGCAAAGGTCAATTGAGGTCACAGACTGAGAAAATGCACTTTTGATGAGTTAAAAATCAAATAGAGCCAAGGTCTGATCTTTGAGTTTCAGATTGGCCAACCACTCATCAAACACAGCATCAGCCAATTCCAACTTTCAGAAGACTGTTTGATGCATCTTTACAAATTAATCCACTTGCTTGTAAAGATAAATGATTCAAAATATCAAATTAAAGGTAAGAGCTTAGGATGTTTCAGGAAATAACCGGCTTCTCCAAGTTTTGAAAAAGCGCAGGAGAGAGAATGTCTGCTAATCTTCGTACACGCTCTGGTTGTAGCTGCCGGCCTTGCAGCACTTCTTCTAGCAGTAATCTGAAATGAGAGCCAGTGAGAACGGCGAGTAATGAAGACGCATCACTCTACACATAAACAGAATGTGCATGCACAGGAAGTGAAAACTAACCCAGGAACGAGCACTTACGATGACAGCCTTGTGTGAAAGCGTAACAAGAATAACTGACAGTTATGCGGACCAATGGTTCAGATGATCCAGCGGGAAGAACATCCTCTGTTCAACTTTTAAATTCAACCTCATAATGTGAATAAAAGACATCTTTCACATTAAAAACAGAAAACCAGCCATAGCCACACATTTCTTACATTGCTGTATATCAGTCCTGAGTCTAAATCAACTGTTGAATAAAGTGAACAAACCGGATCTTGATTCAACACTGAAACTAATTGTATATAAGAATGAAAGCCTCAGTGATCATAAATGTTACACAAATCTTTATGAGGTGCTTGTGAGACAAAGAAAAGTGGAAAATCTTCTATTTGTAGTAAATTCTCCTCTAGTCCAGGAGCAGACGGGAGCTCGTCAGGATGATGGATGAAGTTGTAAATAGAAAAGTTCATAGTCTGCACTTTTCACTGTTCGCTTTTTACTTAGATTTATTTCTTTTTTCTAGAAAGTCAGTGACATTTTTTAGCCTCTCAATTATTCACATGGCCATTTTGCTTTCCCCAACATCCAACATGTAGAGAGACCTCAGTAACAGTGATGACACTGTTGTTGTGAGCTGCTGCTGACAGGTGGCCCAGCAAACTATTTAGAGTAAAGGCTCCTTCAATGGTTTGCTCCACTATGTGACCTTCAGTGGATCCACATCACAGTGAAACCCAGCACCCTGCTTCTTTTGAACTATCCGTGAAACTTCTCTCCTCTCTACAAATGGATCTCACTCATTAGTTCCTTATTCGACTAAAAAGCTCCTAACTTTAAGGCTTAAGCTCGGCTTAATGAACTGACCTGTATTGGAATGTTGACTATGTGCAGTGCCTTGAGACGACTGTTGTCGTGATTTAGCGCTATATAAATAACCTTGAATTGAAAATTGAATTTGTAACAGACGTGGTAGTCCAGTTGTTAGAGTGCCAAGGTACGCACTTTAAATGTGTGGTTTACTCATTTATTTAATACATTTGCAGTGTTCTCTAGTGTAAATCAATGCCTTATGAGTCAATAAATAAAAAAAGAAAACTATGACGCTGCTGTTTTGAGATGCAGACATTTTCTGGTGCAGAGGTGGTGTAATAAAGTTAATTTACATCTAATTAAGGACCGAGACGTTAAGATTCCATATCGAGTATGGCACATATGTCAGAGTCAAGGCCCGCGGGCCAGATGCGGCCCGCAGAGCATTTTTATGTGGCCTGCGAGATAAATATAAAAAATATATTAAAACTGGCCCGCTGGCCGATTTTACTGCAAAGACTTCAACTCCCATGATGCTTTGCGGCATCAGCGCGGAGCCGACGCGCCCCCTCTTTTGTGTTTTTTCAGCGCCTGCTGCCGGTGTCTGCAGCTCCGCTGTCTCGGACAAACTACACTCCTCTCACTCAGCGCCGAGTTCACTCAGCTATTTTCTGACGTTGAAGCCCAGAAACGGAGATTCTAGCCGCTCAGTAATGTGTTCGCGACTGAAAGAGAAAGTTTTCCAACTAACGTCCAGACAGAGCTGATATAACTCCAGCGAGCAGTGACACGCTCAAACCAGCACGACTCTGTGCCTGCTGTAGTTTTTCCTCCCCGACACACAACGTGGTCAAGCTGCTCAGACATGTTCATCAGCACAAACCTATGTGAACACCTGTTGTCATCTAATGTTGTCATTATTATGATGAAGATGAACAAAACAACAGGAGTCTCCTCCTTAGCTCAGATCAACCCCATGATGCAGGTATCTGGCTGGAACAGGTGAGCATCACAGTAAACCAGTAGAGCAAACTGAGCTTTAAATATGCTGGTTTTATGCTCTTTTTCTGCTCCAAAACATGAAAGTTAACAGGTGAGATGCTGCATTTTCATTTAAGATAAAATTATATTTTTATTTTGTTGTTGGCCCGTGAGCAAAGATTTAACCTACAGTAAACAGGAAGTGGAAAGGCTGCAGATAGATGAATAGAATAGAAAATCCCTTTATTTTTCCTCAGTGGCGAAAGCTAGACGTCACAGCAGCGATGACACGTATTACAGGAGAAAAAAAGAGAATAAAAAATAAGAAAAATGAATAAACAACAAGAAAACATAAATCCTGAATAGATTTTAAAAATGCTGAATATACCACAAGTAATGAATACCACTGATGCCTTTTATTTAAAACTGACTTGCTCGTGTGTAATTAGGTTATTCCACATTCAGTGTTATTGCAGAAATAAGTTTGTTTCCAAATTTAAAGGTTCAAAATTGCATATATGTTGATAAAGAAAATGTGCAAATTTGCCATCACTTTTTCAAAAATATTAAGTTTGGCCCTCGACTTCATCTCAGAGTTTCATTTCGGCCCCGTGTGAGTTTGAGTTTAACACCCCTGGAGTATGGGATCAGTCTTACGGACCACTGAGTTATTTAACCAGAAGATTGGAACTTTTTAATGTAGGGATTTGTAGCACTTTGTATTAACTGAGAGACAAGAGAAGAGAAAGAGTTCTTCAAATGTTTAAGATGATTTATTACTAACTAATTTTAAACAATTTAAACAATACTAACTCTCTAATGATGAATGTATCTGTTTGAATGAGATGTGAGATGGATGGTGTGTGTGAGTCGTGTTAATCAGAACTCTCGTATCTGGAGAGGCAAGTCTGAGTGGGAGATGATGTTTTGCTCCTAACTACGATCAGAGGTTGAAAGGAGTAGTTTCATAAACACATGAGACGCCATATTTGTCGTATCCACACATACCCTCAGGGAGACCTCCTGTACGGATCCAGAATGTCAGGTCCACGGACCCTCCTTTCGGTACTGGAGCCAGTGGTACAGCGTCACAGCATGACAAACTAGTCCTTGGATTGTCTCCAGGTAAAAAGCGACAGGTGGTTCACAGCGTCAAAAGGGGACCCTCCTTGGGTCAGTGAGTTCAGCTTTTATTGTGAAAGGAACCGTTGCGTGGTTGGTAAAATGCAACAGATTTTCCCAGCTTGTTGGTTCTCAGCTTAAAAAGGGAAGTCCGGATGGCCGGTCCGATACTCCGCTTAGCATGCGGTGAACTCCAGTGAGATGTTGAGAACTGAACTAAGATGGCATTGGAACTGGTTTTATCAATCTGGGTGTTTTGAATTCTGGTCGAATCAAAGCTGACAGATTTGTAAACACCATAGAGACTATGCCATGCTTCAGACTAGGAAGGTTCTGATTGGATCAGTAACAGCAATGTGTCATGTGTTGTTTACCTTATGTGTGTCAGTGTGTCTAGTGAACTAGATTAAGTCATTTACTTACTAAAACATATTAATCATAACATTGTGATTTCACAGATTGGTCAACATTGTATTATTAACTAACACTTGTTTTGATTAGCTTTATTAAAAAATTGAGTTCTTTGATTTAATAAAAGAAAAGAGTTCATTATCTTCTTTCTTCTCTTGCTGGAAAGTAAACAGTTTTAGAAGCAAATGCATGACCTTGAGGCTGTCTCATGCACTCGAGCACTGTGTCAGAGGCATCTGTGGAAAGAGGTTAAATCCTTGGTGGAATAGCTCCTTCATCACGTTACAGTGGGCTGAAAGTAGCAGGATTACTCATTATTATTGATGATATGCACACATCTCACTTTTGATTGGCTAACAGAACATGTTCAGTAATGTTGCAAAAGTCACAATCAACTCAGCTCAACTCAAACTTTATTTCTAAAGCGACTTTCAGGCACAAGAGTGACAACAAAGTGCTGAACAGGAAATAATTAAAAATAACAAGATGAGAATTAGAAAAACGATTTAAAAGAAAATTAAAACAGTATACAAACTGAAAAAAACAACAACACTAAAACAGACAAATGGCCAGAGGTAAAGGCCAGATCAAATAAAAAAGTCTTTATCCTACCCTTCAAACCATCACCAAGACACTCTTCGCTCTCTCTCCTCACTGCAAAAACATTAAAAACCTCCCTGTGGAGCCAGGATGGGTGAAGCAATTAATGCTAATTCACAGTGTGACATCACAGTGTGAGGATTTTCAAATCCTAGCACTTCACTATTTATTTTCCTTATCAGAAATTAATGCAGGAGGTTGGTGTGGAAGACTGTTCTCAGCCTGTCGAAAACCTCAGAGTGGCAGATGATAATCAGAAATAATAATTAAAAAACGATTTTCAGTCAACCACACCTTTAACCACTGGACTACCAAGGCCAAAAACAGCAGGCTGGCCTAAGATGCTGATGGAGCATGCGTGGGTGAAGCTTCACTCAAACAAACTGTTTCATTTCTGGTTATGAATTCAGACTGATGAAAATAACTCGTATTTACAATAAATGATATCTCAGCAGTGCCATTAGTAATATTTATCATATACTGTGCCTACCCTTGCTCTCAAAGATTGAAAATAGCATGATATGGAACCGTTACATCTTTTTTTATAGCTTTCTTTGTTTATTGCAAAAAGAAAGCCAGGCCCCTCTTATGCATTCCTGTTATATGTTGTTGTCTTTCAGAGTGAAGCAAAAGCAGACAACAGAGAAACCCAAGAGATTCTCAATAAAGGCCTGGTGGTTCTGTTTACTCATTCACTCACATTTCATGACAGCAGCAGTACTAATATCAAACTTAAGTTGGTTGTCAAAGAAATCACTGAGATACTTGTAGGATGAAACAAATTAAAACCCTTCATAAATGATTAATGCTCTCTGCTGCTGTGTCTATTTTACATCCAAAACAAACAAAAATATTCCTTTGTTTTTGCAAGATCCGGCTCTAAAAAATCAGTCACACTAAGAAATAACAACAGTCTGGTATCTGAGAACAAAGCAAGTAGCTGTGTTCAAATATGCTTTAAGATTCATTGGTATGCAGAAATAACAGGCAGTAAAACACAGCCTTCATTCAAGCCTCTTTTTTTTTTTTTTTTTTTTTTTTTTTTTTACGGTGTCCTGTCTGGCTGTGAAGCAAACAGAATTGATGTCTGGATGCTGGTAACAAGCCTTACAGATTTACTCTCAGGTGGAGCATCAAAGCGTCTGCTTCTAATGTCAAGCCTGATACTTAAAACTGTATTGTTATTGTTTTTGAATGCTTTGTAACTCCGACCAGACACGGAGTCAGAGGTGAAAGACAAAGGAAAAGACAAAAGGTGGGGAGAGAGGGGGGAAGGGGGTGGGGGGATTCCACAAAAATAAACAATAATGAACTAGAGTCTGCTTCTAGACCTGCAGAAAGAGACAAGAAAAAAATGGGACACAAAAACAATACAACAAGATCAAGCTATAACTGCATCAACTTGATGAAGAAATATATAATCAACATTGTTTAACTGAACAATCACACGATAATAAATCACAGTGCATTAAGCGCCCACCATAGTCTTAAGACCTGTGTTGAACGTGCCCAAGCCCATACTTTTGAGAGCACCATGTGAGCACTTGTGTGTGTACACACGCTTGTTTATGTAAGGTTTCTCTAGAGGAGCATCCAATAGAGAGTGTGAGGGACCACAGATCTGACCCCCAAAGATGTGTAGGAGACAGGGGGAGCTCCAAGTCCCAGAGATCCAGGCGCTGCCCCAGAACACAGGAACCCCAAGGAGACTGCAGCCAGAAAGGCCCCCACTCCCCTCGAGAGGCACAGAGGATCGCCCCTGGGGGCCACAACCAGCAGCCGGCAGAGTCTCGGGATATATCAGCGGCAAGCCCACAGGCCCGCCCGCAGCCTCCCACCCCCTAGCCGGCCGAGCCCGGGACCCAGCGACCCGGGACCCAGAGGCGACCACCCCCGCCGGGGACCCAGCAGAGCCCAGGGACCCAGACCCCACCAGGCCGCCACCGGGATTGATCAGGCAGACGCCAAAAATCTTAAACCCCCTGACCCGGGAGCCAGAAACACTCAGGCAGACCAAGGCACCGCACTCCACACCAGGTGTGGCAGAGGGAGGGGAGACGAAGATCTATATCATCAAAAGAAGTCCCAGGAGAGGGGAGGAGTCAAAGGCCCCACCTGACATATACAGTCATACACAAACACAGTCACACACTCCCTCCCTCATGCTCACACATACACATACAACCAAAGACTTACAAAAATGCACACCAGACACCCACTCATGCTCCCCATACATGCTCCCGGTACTGCTGCACATGGGGTACAACCATCACCGGTTACCAGAGTTTGACCCTTTCTGCTGGGGGTGCTGATGAGCAGGCTCCCCCGCCCAACCAGATGGCCAGATCTGCCTCTTAGCCTCCAGCCCCAGGAAGCCAAGCAACAACAGAGGTGTGATAAGACCCCTTGTCTCCCTCCACCTGCTCCAATATAGTGTTGTGTGTTGATGAGGTGTATTCCATGGCTGTGGTGAGCGGGCAGTGCGGGCATCGTCTGGCCTATTCCAGCTGATGCCACCACACCACCCCACTTGCACCCACAGCTCTCGGTGTCTAAGTGCAGTTTAAAATTGGAAGTGGGCACCAGCACTCGGGAGGAGGCTGAGAAATCCCCCTGCCAAGTGCCGTTGAATGTGCTCACTCCCAAGGCCCTAAGTGTGTGTTTGCGTTGAATGTTGTCAGTGGAAGTGTATAAGGTGCAAATAAAATTGGGGGGCAGGCTGCCACAGGAATGCGGAAATGGGGTCCATACCCACACACCCTGACTTGTCCACCCCCCAAGGTCCTATGTGCATGTTTGTGTGATGATGTGAGGGAGCAGGAGGAAAGAAATATGCAGGGATGGGGAGGAATGGCTGGCTGGGCTTAGCCCTCCAGGGAGCCAGCTCCCCCACTGGCCCCAATAGGCACCTCTGTTGTCAAACTGCCACCTAGGACATGGAGACCCCAGCCCATCCTGCCAGGGCCCAAAGCAGCAGCATAACAGAGCCTCAAGGAGTCCGAAGACACCAACCCAGCAGAATGTCTATGCCCATCCCTGCATTTGCAACACTTCCAGAATATATAAGACATAGGACATCCAGGTAAGGTTGGGTCCTCCCCCTCCTGGACCTCCCCCTCCCCTGTGATGGGACAGCAGCGGAGCCAAGGTCTACCCGAGGCCCCTGAACCCGGGCCAGGCACTGCTGCATGTTCCTGCCTTCTTCCCGGCAGCATACATGTCATCGCTATGTGATGGAACCGATCAAAGGAGCCCAGAGAGATTGATCTGAAGTGGAAGCAGAGGCTATATCAAGTGTAATATGATCTAACAAAAGATTTCTATACTGGTTAATGCAGAGAGTTTCTCTATTTTTACAATTCAAGAGGAGAGTTTTCTTAGCGATGCATATGGCAATCAGAACCACGTGAACCAAAGATTTTTCAATCGGGACATCATCCAGGTTTCCCAGTAAACAAAGAGGAGGGGTGGTTGGGATATGACATTTCAGAGACTTTGACAGCTCTTCACATACTCTACCCCAAAATTCCTGGACAGGTGGACAGGACCACAGTGCATGAATGTAATTTTCAGGAATGTTGTTTGTGCAGTGTGTACAGGTGTCAAACGACACAAACCCCATCTTGAACATCCGATGACCTGTATAGTGCACTCTGTGTAGAATTTTGTACTGAATTAATTGTAAATTCGAGTATCTGATAATTTTAAAAGTTTTTAAACAAGTTTGGGACCAGACGTTCTGGTCAAAGCTGACTGATAGATCCATCTCCCATTTTTCAATAGGGATTGCTATTCTATCGTCTATTTTGGACAGTGTCTTATATACTTAAGACAGTAGTTTGGGGGGTTTGAGATTATAGAAGTCTAATACCGTTGGTGGTGTTTGTAATTCTATTTTATTGAGCTTAAATTTTTGTTTTACTACAGATTTAATTTGGTGATATTCTAAAAAGCTATTCTTATCCATTCCAAATTGGGATACTATTCTATTAAATGGAATGAAGTCCAATCCTTCATATATGTGTTTCAGGTATAGAATTCCTTTATTTTTCCAGTCCGGAAGGTTCATCATTTTATTATTTTGCAAAATATCAGGATTATTCCAGATAGGTGTGTGTCTGCATGGTACTAGTGAAGACTCTGTCATTTTAAGATACTCCCACCATGCTGTCAGAGAGGTGCTGATACTAATACTTTTGAAGCCTTCATGTTTTCTTATGCTTGAGCTAATAAATGGTAAGTCTGAAATCTCTATCGTATTGCAAAGTGTCTATTCTATGTCTAACCAAGACTCTTGATACAGTGACCCAGTCTGAAACTCGGGAGCCTTCCTAGTGCTCACATATTTCATTAGGTTCCTAACCCCTTAGGCACTAACAGCAGTTGGGTAAGGATACATGCTTCCTCTAAGAGAAGAGATTACTGGTAAAATCAAATCAAAAATTTCTAAAGAAAAATAAATTATTGAGTGCATCTGGGAGTGTCACTTTCTCTTTTTCATGCTTCCTGAACCGCCTTTGCATTTGTGAAACTGAGGCTTTACACGCGGCATGCAAGTTATGACCACTGTGCTGATATTCCACCTTGTATTTAGACATCCTTTTCTTATTTCGTGCCTTAGTTCTTTATGTATGTTCTTTATTTCCTGTCTTTTGCCAGTGTAAAAAATGTAACTTTCTTGATTATCACTTGTTTTTAATCCTTAATGAGCCATTGTTGGGGTCCCTGCAATGGGAGAAACAATGCGCCCATCTGACAAATGTTGCTGTGCCAGTGCATCCAGCTGACTGGCTGCTTCAGATGTGTGCAGCCTATAATCGCTCCTGAGTGGCTGCAGCAAAAAAATCTGCCAAGTGGAACTTTAAAAGATAAGACTGGTCAGAGGGAGCACCTTTGGGAGCTGCTGTTTGTGTAGCATTTTGGTGAGGCCAATCTCTAATAAAAATCCTCTTTAATTTACACCATGTGTCCAGCCCTCCTCCTTATACTGTGGTCCCATGAGCCAGATCATAACACCCATGGTTTGTTGTTTGGGTAATTTTTTTTAAATAATTTCACTGGGAATAAAAGATATGTACACATAAATGGTGACAGTTCATTTTAAATCTCTACAAGATTCATAAAAGACACCCCACTCTGTACAATCAAAGCATGCCTGATGTGTGGTAATGTCATCCTCTGTCCAACACTTGACTGAAGTAGCTTTTGTAGAACGGTGGCCCTCTTCTCTTTTTCCAATACTTTCTGGGTCAGGTCTCACAAGAAAAACAAGGTCCATCATTTTGTCCCCTGTACCAGTATGTTGTGAGCAGTGTTGGGAACGTTACTTTAAAAAGGTAATTAGTTATAGTTACTGATTACTTTGTCAAAAAAGTAACTCAGTTACTAACTGAGTTACAAGATCATAAAAGTAACTAATTACCAACAAAAGTAACTACTTAGTTACTTTTTTCATTAAAGCATGCAAGAATTACTACAATAGTAAAATATAAATGACTAATGACTGAACATAATAAAATGTATGCCAAATGTTTTATATAAACCTGAAAATTTTAAACAAATAAGCACTTAACAGGAGGAACTACTAATAGGAACATTACACTAATCTAGACTATTAAAAGGTCACTGTGTGATATTTAACAAAAACCCAATCAGCTAAAATTTAAAATTGCAAATAGAAACACCTGTAAAGGTTCCCGAGCCTTTAAATAGTCTCTCAGTCTAGTTAAATTACAGAAATAAATGTAATTTTGCACAGCATTCCATTTCTACAGCTTCACATAATTGTGTCTTTTTAGTAGCATTTCTGTTGCTACTAGTAACTGTTAAATAAATAAATAAATAAATATCCTTTAAAATGACACTAGAAGAGGCACAAGCCTGATGGAGGACTTAAATGTACTAACTTGGGTCAGACCCAAACAGAAGAGCTGAAGCTGGGTGGTAAACACACACAGGTCGTTCTAATAACACCTGAGCTCCATGACGTCTGAGACTGATGCATCAGTGTTACAGCGGGACTAGAGACACGATCAGGAACAGGTTACAGCTGGATGATCTAGGAAGGTAGAAGATCAGGACGTCTGAGCGGTGAACAGGTGAGCGGACCTTCGGGACGTCCCGCTGTCACGCTAAGGGCACGGCTGCAGACCCGCAGATTCGCTGCTGCAGCAACAAATCTGCGGGTCTGCAGCCGTAGATATTCATCACGTCTTCCTCGTTCTTCACGGGCCGTGATGCTCTTAAACATCTGCCTCTTTAGCTCCTGATCAGCTGACGACAGCTTCAACACACCGCGCTGCTTAACGCACGCATTTCCTTACCAGTAACAGGAACAACGTTTTGATAAAAGAAGACGTAATTAATTAGTTTGCTTGTTACAGAAAGACATATTTTTTATTAACGCGGTTATTTTAAACGGAGTTATTCCCGTTGTGTCTACAGAATGCAGCGACTGAGACGGTGAGGGTCTCCGCCCACCCGGCCAATCATCATCGTGTTTGTAAGAGCGTTACCGACACCTCTCTCTCCCTGGCTGCAGCTGAAGTGTGGCGGTCGGAAAGCCTCACACTGCTGCTCAACGTTCGACAAGCACATAGTAACGCACAGCGTTCCGTCCCCAGTAACGGTAACGGCGTTGCAACGGCGGGAAAAGTAATTAATTAGATTATTCCGTTACCTATAAAAGAACGCCGTTAGAAACGCCGTTATACTTAAACGGCGTTACTCCCAACACTGGTTGTGAGGTTTTTAAAAGCCATAGCATGTATGGCAGAATGAGGGCAAAACAAAATGAAGGTGTGCGTCTATCATCTACAGCGTGATCCATAATCTCTCTGTGGGGCTGTGTCCAGAAATAATGCATTCTTGTGGTTCTATTTTTTTTACCTAAAAATTGCTTTTGCTCGACTTGCTTCCTATACTGATATTTAAAGCAGCTCTTCTCTGCTTTTATAGTTGCAGATTTATACTGAAATGAAAAATAAACAAAATTTCCAAGTGATTTCAACCTTTTAGAGCTGAAGGATATATTTATTGCCCTGAATACATGATTTTTAAAGGCTATAATGCAGTTTAAATTTTACTAATTATCTGCAACTGAAGCGGCTGGGATGAGGATCAGCACCTCCAAATCTGAGACCATGGTTCTCGACCGGAAAAGGGTGGCTTGCCACCTCCGGGTCGGGGGAGAGGTCCTACCTCAAGTGGAGGAGTTTAAGTATCTCGGGGTCTTGTTCACGAGTGAGGGTAGGAGGGATCGGGAGATCGACAGGCGGATTGGTTCGGCGTCTGCAGTGATGCGGACGCTGAGCTGATCTGTCGTGGGGAAGAGGGAGCTGAGCCAGAAAGCCAGGCTCTCGATTTACCGGTCGATCTACGTCCCAATCCTCACCTATGGTCATGAGCTTTGGGTAATGACCGAAAGAACGAGATCGCGGATACAAGCGGCCGAAATGAGTTTCCTCCGTAGGGTGGCCGGGCTCAGCCTTAGAGATAGGGTGAGGAGCTCGGACATTCGGGAGGGACTCGGAGTAGAACCGCTGCTCCTCCGGATCGAAAGGAGCCAGTTGAGGTGGTTTGGGCATCTGGTCAGGATGCCTCCTGGACGCCTCCCCGGGGAGGTGTTTCGGGCATGTCCTGCCGGCAGAAGGCCCCCGGGTCGACCCAGGACACGTTGGAGAGGTTACATCTCCAATCTGGTCCGGGAACGCCTTGGGGTCCTGCCGGAGGAGCTGGTGGACAAGGCCGGGGAGAGGACGGCCTGGAGCTCCCTAGTTGGGATGCTGCCCCCGCGACCCGGACCCGGATAAGCGGAGGAAGACGACGACGATCTGCAACTGACTGATGAGCCACCGTCATTCTTAACATTTAAAATAGCCCACAATAAGACATTAGAGTTTAGTTATGTGACTGATTCAATTGTTTCATGAAACAAAAAAAAATTCAAAACATCAAACTATTGTATTCTTACATTTTTGTAAACATCACAAAAACAAAATCACATATTTATATTTTAATATAACATCAAATACACTTATTCTTTTAAAAATACATTTTGTTGAGCAGATAATGACACATATGTGTTTGCTTTAACATTTGGCCTAATGCAATCTGGTATAAAAAAAACAACAGCAGCAACATCAGAATATACTTCATTTGAATAAAGCAAGAATCTCAGAGTCAGGATATTTAATATTCTACTAAAGCCACTGTCGGTATCCTGGTCCTGTTGGCCTTTTTGTCTGACCCTTGCCTCCACCAAAATCAAAAGGAACTAGAAGCAGGGCAGATGTCTGCAGGGAACAAAAATACAGACAGAAAGAAAGATACTTAAGTGACATAATTACTGTACTCCTTTCACAAGAAACGCCTTAATGTAATCTTACTAGCCAAACGAGCTTTATTTTTCATACTTTCTTTTTATTGATAGTTTTATGTTAGAAAGAAGCAAGAAAAAGGGGAAAAAACATAGAACATACAGACCTCACTCAACCAGTGTACAGGGCATCTAAAACAAGTCACAAAATGTTGTTAGGGCCTCACAGCCACTTAAGGTGCATTTACATATGGGAGAGGGTGGAAATCTTTATGCATTTGCTTTGACATTACAGTGCCGTCTGAGTCAGATACAGGTTCCATCTTTTCCAGTATTTCTGACATTCATCAGCTGCAAGTCTTTGTGAGAAAGTCAGTCTCTCCATCACATATATGTTATTAATGATGTCAATCCAGTCCAGCAATGTTGGAGGCTCCTCCTTCAACCATTTGCGAGTTATAGCCTTCTTTGCCCCTGCGAGCAGTATTAGTAGAAGGTACCTGTCCATTATTCACAGTCCTTGCGGTAAATCACATAGATAAAACACAGTGAAATTGCAGGATAAATTCAAGTCCATAATGGCATTGATTTCTTTTCTCAGTTCCAACCAGTAAGGTGTGATCTTTGTGCAGTTCCAAAAAACATGAAAGTGAAAGCTTGTACACATCCACAGTTCCTCCAGCTCTGAGCCTTGTCAGTATATTTACTTTGCTTACTTCTAATCTCAGGAGTAACAAAATATCGAACCATGTTTTTCCACATAAATTCCTTCCAAAGACCTGAGCTAGAAGTCATTAACGCAGCTTTGCATATATTGTCCCAGCTGTCTTCGGTTATTGTTAATTTGGCCTCTTTTTCCCATCTTGTTTTAATGTAATTTGTGTCATTATTCCTACAGGATTCTAAACATGAATATAATGTTGATACCTGTTTCTTTGGAGCCTTTCCTCTACATGAATCAAATAGGAGTTTAACCAGGCCTGTGTCCTCCTCCTCCAGGCATTTTACATTTCTGCAATAGTGCCTTAACTGGAGATATCTAAAAAAAAAAATTGTCTTTCCAGATCAAAAGCTCTCTGGTGTTGTTGGTATTTTTTTAATCCTCTATCTGATATAGTCCAGTAACCTGTTTTCCCATTCTGGGACTACTGGGTGAATCTTTTATCCATACTTGCAGGTGTAAAATCGGAATCATGTGCAGGCCATCTCAAACGCCAGGCAGACCTTTCAGTTTTCTAGTTTTTGAGTATCTTATCCCATATCCTTAAAGGCACTATCATTGATGTAGGAAGCAGGTCTCCGTCTATTTGTCTTTTAATTAGGGTCCGATCTCCAAGCAGTGATTGCAGGGGTGTTACACTATAGGACTGATCTATCTCCTTCCATTTTGCCTCATATGTTGGGTCACACCACCCGATCAACACTCGCAGCTGTGCTGCCCTGTAGTAATCCTCCAGATACGGTACAGCAAATCTACCCTTGTCTTTTTTATAAGTTGTAATAATGAAAATTTTACTCTCAGTTTTTGCTTAGCCCGAATGAAGTTAGACATCATCCTGTTCCACTCACTGAATTGCCTAGAGGGTATATGTATCGGAAGTGTCTGGAATAAATAAAGACATTTTGGCAATAAATTATTTTTTATTATGTCTATCCGATTGTGCATATTCATAGGTAGTAACCTCCAGCGCTGTAGATCCGCCTTTACTTCTGACGTTAAAGGAATATAGTTGTATTCAAAAAGCTTGGATAGGTCTGTAGGTATGTGAATCCCTAAATATTTTATAGGTGTGTTGCTCCATTAAATTTGGTTATTTTCTGAGTGCTTTGTCATGGTTGATAATTGAATAAAAGGGTCTGCCTCTTCTGTAGGTTTAACTTGTATCCGGAATATGTACCAAATTTTTTAAGTAAGGAGAGAAGGGTAGGAAGACTGACTTCTGGGTTAGATAATGTTATGAGAATGTCATCAGCATACAGACCTATTTTATACACTAAATCTTTAATCTTTATGCCTGTGATGTCATTTGATTCCCTGACAGCTTTCGCCAAAGGCTCAATGTAGAGCTCGAATAGGGCTGGGCTGAGGGGGCATCCCTGGCGACAGCCTCTCTCTAGGTGTAGCGTATCTGTTAAGTCCACGTTGATTTTAATTCTGGCTGTGGGCAACTTATATAACAACTGTAAGCACCTGATAATTTGGTTATTGAAACCAAACCTCTCTAAGACCAAATATAGATAATTCCAGCATACCGAATTGAACGCTTTGTCCGCATCTAGAATTACCGCAATTGATTCTGTGTTTTTCATTTGGTTTATTAGGTGAGGAGCCCGTCTTACATTATCATGTGTTTGCCTGTTTCGAACAAAACCAGTTTGATCTGTATGTTAATTCTGGGATTATGAATTCCAACCGTTTAGCCAGTATTGTTGTGAAAATCCTGTAGTCAATATTCAAAACCGATATTGGTCTATAGGAGCCACACTTCAGCTTGTTTTTACTGGGTTTAGGAATTACGGAGACTGCACGTTTCCAGGATGGTGGTGTCTCCCACCCTGTAAGCACGTGGTTAAAACAGTCCCTAAGCAGAGGGGTTACTAGCTCTCAAAAATGTTTATACCACTCTGCCGGATAGTCATCCTCACCTGCCATCTTATTACTCTTCAGCCTCGAAATGGCTTCATTAATCCCCTCCACTGTTATTGTTTGTGTGAATCTTTTATTTTGCTCTGTTCCTATTGATGGTAAATCAAGTGATGAAAGAAATGCATTGGCCGAGGGTACATCCGTCATATGAGGCTCTGCATACAACCTAGTGTATTAAGTCACAAAGGAATGTTTTGTCTTTCCTATCGTGATATACTTTGTCATCTGCTGGGTTTTTAATTTTCTGTATAAATCTGTCAGTCTGCTGTTTACGTATCTTCCACGCGAGGAATTTCTTAGATTTAGGACCATTTTTGTAATAATTCTGCTTTATAAGTCTAGTCTTTTTTTCTATTTGATCATCATACAGTTTGTTTAATTTATGTCGTGTCTCTTTAATCTGTAGTAACGTGTCATTATTATTATTTTTCATATGTTCTGTTTCTAGAGACTTTAGTCTTATTAAAAGGTCCCTTCTCTTTTAAAATCCCCCAGTTTAGCTAAAATATCACTAGGGTAGTCTTGGTCAAAATACACACGTCTTCCTATTAGCTGGATTTCTTTTTAAGCCCACGCCGAGCAGAGGATCTTGTCTTTTATCTTATACTCCATATCACAAGATCTAGGGTTGGCTCCCGGTGGTGGTTTGGGGCCCAGGGAACGGTGACAGCGCTGTATGCCCAAATTACTGTCCGTTAGGGAGAGTTCTTTCTTCATGAAGGTCTCGATGAACTCAGACATGTTGTCCCCTTCCTCTCCCTCTGCTATGCCATGAATACATATGTTGTTCCTGCGCGAGCGGGCTTCCAGGTCGGATATACGTGACTGGAGGTCCTCTTGCAGCTGGAGAGTATAGCCGAGGACGTCCTTGGCATCTGCGGCGAACTCCTCCTTGTCAGCCACCCTCTGCTCGACTTCCTCGATCCTGTTTGTGGCCTCCATCATGTCCGCAACAATCTCGTCAAGTCGTCTTCCCATGTCTTTTCTAAACTCTTGTCATTTCTGATTTCACCAGCCCAGTCCGCTCAGTTATTTCTTTTTTCAAGTTAGCTTGAACTCTTTTCAGCTCCGTGAGAATGTTAGCTTCAATGGCCTCCATAGCTCCGTGTGGTTTTAGCTTGCTAGCGCCGTCAGCTTCTTTTGGTGAAAAAAACTCCTCCGTGTATTTTAGCTGAGTTCCTCTTGTCCTCCTCTTATTACCCCCTGGCATACCATTATAATTATCGTCAATTATGTTTTAACTTGTCAATATCATGGGGTAGTTAGGCCACATGGGAGCCAGTAAATTATGCTGCTTCCTGCCTCGCCTTCATCCGTAAGTCCCTAGCCAAACAAGCTTGATGACTGCGTTGTGTTGAATTTCAGATGTTAATGGGTTTACAGCTGTTGGAAGGTACCTCATTATGTAGGTGGCGGTTGGGAAGGTTCGAATTTGCTGCTTTCTTCCAATGTTTTCATGATCCATTTGAGTGCCTTTGAGCAGAACTCCACCTGAAAAAATTGGGAGCAAAAACAACTTGATTTTGGAGGAACTACCTGAACATATTGAAACATTCTGTAGCTCAAGGTTTTCTTTGCTTAATGTTAATATCAGAAAGTAGTGACACACCAATATGAAATTATTTGGGCCCATATAGATATCCAATATTAATATCACTGTTATGGCGAATAACTGATATTTACCGACATCAATATACTGACATTAATGCTTCTAAAATCAGCAGATTTTGTATAGAATGAAAATTATTAAAGCTGAATTTACATTATTATGTATACACAACACACACATTTACGCTTCTGAGATGATTACAATCACTGTCACATGACTAAACAAATACACATCACCCCCCTCACCCTCTGAAACAGATAAACAAATGGAGATAAGATGGAAAAAATATCGGTTGTTGATATCGGCCCAATTTTATTTATCGGACCAATAGAGATATGTTAAAAACTGACTAACATTGGTCGATACCGATATTGATGCTGATATGTTATCCATCCCTACCAGAAAGGTATGATTTCTAAAAACAACCCCAATTCCAATGAAGTTGGCACGTTGTGTGAAATGAAACATATCATGAAAAGATTCAGAGAATGTGGAGAAATCTCTCCATGGCCATAACAGTCGATCCCCCAGCCAGAACAGACATAATTCTATAAAGGGTGTTACCCTGTGCTCGCCAATACTTCATAAAGCCATTTTCAGTTAACACAGTTAATTGCTACATCTACAAATTAAGTTACTACAAGTGAAAAACTCTACCATGCAAAGAGAAAGCTATGCAGGTAAAACTAGCAAAATTAGAATATGGTACAAAAAGTCCATTTATTTCAGTAATTCATGTCAGACTGAGAGACCATCCAATAGCTCAGGAACCCTTTGTTGGTGTTTCTGATTAATTAGCTGATTAGATTGTGACACTTTGAGCAAGGCCAGATCCAATGGGCATTATGGGCACAGGCCCACACCCACTAAGGGCTCATGTGAGCAGCCCAAGCAAGGGAAACAGGTCCAACAGAAAAACAGCAGTGAGACATTAATTATACTGGAAGTGACTCGGTTACCGGGCACCGGCACCACCACTGGCACCACATTTAGGACCAAAAGCAACTACTGGACCATCTGACAAATTACCAGAGTCCCATAAAGAAAGACAATTTAAAGTCAAAGACAACAAAAGACATTTGGACCTGGAAAATGACTACAGGTATTTAGCACTATATCATTTTTGTGCAGCATCTCAAATTTACGGTTCCTCCAGAAGGGAAATACCCAATGGAAGGGGTGAGCATTCCGTGACTGTGGTTGTGTTCGCTTTCGTCAACGCACCCCAGGGCAGCTGTGGCTACATTTACTGCTTTCTCATCTGGACCAGATCAGTCCCGCCCAGATATGTTATGTTGTAATTACATGTGGGTAGCCTAATTTTTTTCCTTGCTCAACCAGCCCTATTTTCAGTCCACCTCCACCAGCTCAATGGCCTAGTGGTATAGTGTCCACCCTGAGACTGTGAGATCAGGGTTCAAATCCCAGTCGGGTCTTACCAAAGACCCAATGCTTCCCTGCTTGACACTCAGCATTAAGGGGTTGGATTGGGAGTTAAACTATCCCAGGGGATAGGTCAAATGTGGAGAACAAATTTCACACACACACATCAGTGATAACTAATTAACCTATAACTTTTTAATCTCTAATTCTATTCCTAGTGGTAAATAGCACTTCAGATATCCAAGAACCAGGGCCCGATTAACACTTTGTTGTACCCTGGGCAACAATATTAAAGGGCCCCATCATCACGACCCGAGGATCACCATAATATGGTCACATACAGAATATTTTACTGTAATATGCAGTAAATATACTCAATACTTGAATGCCTGACATCACGTAACCCGCTCAGGGTAACCTTTGACCCACCTCGTGTGGACTGACCAGTGAGGAGAGGGTCTTGTCTCAGATGTATAAATATTACATGTGTATAACTTGCTTTATACTGGTAAAAACGTGTAGTGGAGATAAATCTACCTACATTTTACTTTTCAACACTTTGTTTTGCTTTCTTGTTTTTATTTAACTGTTTTCCTGTCCTGTGTGTCTCTCATCTTCCTGCACCTCCTCTAAACTCTTCAGAAAAGCTGCTGCCTGGATTCTTACTTTTTCACCTCATCAGTTACTTTTGAGTAGATCAAAGGGATCTCCTGACCGCAAAGCGGAGTGCGCGTTTCGATGCTGCGCCAGTGAGGTGAAATCACTGCAGCGCATGCGATGAGCTCCGCAGCAGCAGAGCGCTTCAGGCACAAATAAGACAGAAAATAGAGAACATGTGCGGACATGAACGATCGTGTGTTAATTATAGTTTTTTGGTTGCACCACTTTGAGAATGGACCGTGCGCTGGGCGCAGCAGCCTGGAGCGCTGTGCACCAACGATCATCGCTCTGCCGCTCTCTGTGCTCTCTGCTCAAGAGTCCATAAATGATGTAATATAGGTAGAAAACTTTTTTCCGGCTCAAATGGATGTGTAGGATATCCAGCTCCCCCATAATTGGATCCCTGCTCCTGGATGAAAAACCGGACATTTTCATCAATACAAGAACCCCCCCACCCCACCCCCGACGCCCCGGACAGAGAGTGAAAAGTGGACATATCCGGGGAAAAGAGGACCTATGGTCACCCTAGTTTATTATAAAGCGGGAGATTACAGATACAGTATTTTTCTCGTGCCCTTGCTGCCCTGGGCCTGGGCCCTTTAGAGTTTGTGGGCCCCTGGGCAATTGCCCAGTTGCCCATATGTTTAATCCTTGCCAAGAACATTCTTACTGAATGAACATTTCAGATATCTGAAATGTTCATATTAACAATCATTCTGTGATAAAAATCTATGACATCATAGATATTATAGAATGTAACTGCATAAGATAAAAATAACATCAAAGTTACTTTGCGAGATAACTAATTACTTTTACAATGTGATAACTGAGTTACTATCTTTATTAACATTTGGAAAACGTAATTAGTAACTATAATTACTTTTGAATGTAAGATGCTGAACACTGACAACAGCTTTTGTAGTTAGAGTGTGGGTACCAGACTGGCCTGCCTGCAGTCCAGACCTGTTTCCCATTGAAATTGTGTGGTGGATTATGGAGACAACAGACTGTTGAGCAACTGAAGTTGTACATTAAGCAAGAATGGGAAAGAAATCTACTTAGACATCTTCAACAGCTTGTAACCTCAGTTCCCAAAGTCACAGTGGTAAACATGCCCCAGTCCCAGCTTTTCTGGAACATGTTTCAGGCATCAAATTCAAAATAAGTGAAGATGTTGTTAAAAAGAACAATAAAGTTAACCTATCTGGGCATTAGATATATAGTCTTTGTAGTTTATTCAGTGAAGTATAAGTTGAGAAGTAATTGACAATCCTTGAATTCTGTTCTTGTTTACGTTTTTTACGTCCCACCTAACTGGAATTGGGGTTGTGTAAAGCACAAATCCCACAATGCACCATATCTGAGCATCGAACTGGCAAATCAGATGAAAGGGGACCTGTCATAAAGAAGTCTTCAGGTAAGGTAAGCTAAAAGAAGTGTAATTTATTGTGGATTTGTTGCTTTTTTAATCAAGCTGAGTGAAAACTGGGGGGTTTTATATTTCTAAATGTAAATACTGAACATTTTCTTTCTTTCAGAACCTGCTAGAATTATCCTTTACTCAATGCAAAAAAGTCACTTTAAAGTTTGTTAATTTACATATTTTGTGAGTGGAGCATGATTTCTGTGATATTAGCTTGAAATTGGTAGATACACAAAACTAAAATTTAAACAAATACACATTTACCAGTTGACCTTCAAGTGTTTACCTCCGTTTCCAGAGCCCCAAGTCTGAGATCAATATCTCTGCTTTCAGTGAAATGTTTCACAACTCCATCCATTCTGAGAAAACAAATATAACATCAGAGTTGAAGTAATAGTACATCAAAGTCTTGTGCTATGGACAGTGTGACTCACTTGTCAGATATCCGTTTGAGTCTCTCTGAGTCACTACTTTTCTGGATTTTGTTTTGTGCAGCCAGGACGTCCTCTTTCTGGATGGTTTCCCACGTCGTTAACCTGTTTGATTCTTTTTGGTCTAAGTGCAAGACTGGTAGAAATAGTGTATTTTATTAATATTAACGTTCATATCTGAGGTGTTTATTTAATGACAGAAACCCAACCAGTAAGGAGAAATCTAATGTTTTGCTCAAAATTATTTGGAAGGAAAAGCAGTAATGGACCGATTAGAATCCTTCAGAAAAAATAAAGCTCAAGTACAGATGCTGACCAAAGTGGTAGATCTTGACAGAAGGAACTTTTCGGATTTTCCTCTTGATAAACAAGTTGATGTGTGAGAGGATGATGAAGGGAGGAGCCAGCGATGGACGAGTATGATACTGGACTATCACGTTGTAGCGCTGGAACTTCCAGTAGATGTCGCTGTTACCCTGCACTTCACTGAAGGTGTAGCTGTGTGGAAATTTCATAATTAAACAAAATTTACATTTTTAAGGTTTAGCAAGTCAGTGTAGCCAGGGTTAGGGTTGACCTACCTAAACATGGCAATGAGCAGGTTGATGAGCAGGATGTTGGTAACTATCAGATAAATGACCAGCAGAATAACCACCAGCCAGTTATTGTACAGAGACCTGCATGGCTCTGCACCCTCATCAATCAATGTTGTGTTGTCTGTGCACTCCCGATCCCAGTCCTTCCCAACTGAAGAGAAAACCTTTAATGTCACTGATGTAAACCTTAAAATGCATTGAATGTAAAATAATAATTCAATAAAATGCCATTAAAAATCCCTTGTACCATCAACCTCCTCCACAGGAATCTGGCCATAGATGTGTAAGTACGGCCTGTAGAAAACTCTGCGAAAAATGCGACTCAGGCTCGGGTCATAGGAGTAAAGTAAAGCCTGATTGGCTACTCCGTACGCCATGAGCCACACTCCCAGGAAGAAGAGGAAGAAGAAGATGTCCTTAACCTAAACGGGTGAATTCAGTATTGTATCATTACAACTTGGACATCAAGAAGATGTAGAAACATGAAAGTATTTGACATTTCTCACCATCTTGCCAACAATGATAATTTTTGGTCCCAGCTGTTTGTGAATGGCAAAAATGTGAATGAGGCGAAGGGTGAAGACCATGTAGTCCACACACAGGGCGTCCCGTCCATATTCATAGGTCTGCTCAAACATCCTAAAACCCCATTAAATGTGAAAGTATAACAACATGGTGAGACTACCACCTAGTGGTCAAACACAAAAATCATAAAGCTGACAGCTCTGGATAATGCGAGTCTTGGTCGACACCTCTTCCATGTTTCATGGAGAAAATTCAAGATACTTCCTACAGAGTGGCTGCTTCCCAATTTTAAAAAGGGAAACTAGAACATTTGCTTAAGATTTAAATGGAAACAATGCTTAGACTCCTAGGAGGGTGTTGAGGGTGTCAAAAGAAAGCTTTCATAGACTGTCAAAGAAACAATCTGCTTTTTGTCAGAATTATAAACCTGCGGTCCTAATCATGACCCTGTGTTATGTCAAGGAGAGAACAAGCTTTAGTGTTCTTCCACAGAAGGGGAATTTGTGGGAGGTGCTGCAGGTGATTTGGCCCCCATTTGATCCATGTTTGCATTAACACATGTTGTGTGTCTAGTGTTAGGGTTACCCTTTGGCTGTCATTTTGTTAGTAGTGCTCAAAGACCATTGTTTATCTGGTGCTTTAGGACTGCATCTTGTCTTTTTTTAGCTGATGTTGAGGTTGTTGGCAAAATCAAGCCACAACCAAAAAAGCAGCTGGTTGAGCATTGACAAAAATCTTTTATGGATTCCCTCTGATTTCATCCCTCTGGATGTTCTCCAGGCAAGTCCAGCAAGGGACTTGCTGAATACGAATCCTGTCCAAGAATCAGTCTCTGAATTTCTCAGGAGGGGAAGAAAAGAGTGGCTGGGGAGAACAGTGTGAGCATTTCCTGACAAGATGTGCAGCTTTTCAAATGCTTCAAATTAGACAAAAACAAAACAGAGAAATTGAGTGAAAGCCCTCGTTTCATTTTCATTCCACCAGTTTTAAAAAATGTTGTTTGTTTTGTATTATTTGTTTTAATATGTCCTATCTATAAATAGGCATAGATTCAAAGAGTATTTTTTGTTAAGATATTAGAAAAAAGAAAACACTGATTATCTTTGAGATATTTAATGTTCATACCTGCTGATCAATCCTGTGATGAATAATATGATGGCGATGAGGTCAAATTTATTCCACACATCCTGAAAATAGACTCTGATGTTTTGACGCCAAGATGATCCTTCTATAAAGAAAATCTTCAACAGAAAAAAAAGTTATATTATATATATATATATATATATATATATATATATATATATATAAATTAATTGTTGGTTGTTATGATAAAAAATTCAGTTATAGGACACACACAGTGATATTTGAGAAGTGAAAATAAAGTTTATAGGATTTACAGAAAATGTGCAATAATTGTTTAAACAAAATTAAGCAGGTGCATAAATTTGGGCACCACAAAAAAGAAATAACTTAATATTTAGTGGATCCTCCTTTTGCGGAAATAACAGCCTCTAAATGTTTCCTATAGCTTCCACTGAGAGTCTGGATTCTGGTTGAAGGTATTTTGGACCATTCTTCTTTACTAAACATCTCTAGTTCATTCAGGTTTGATGACTTCTGAGCATGGACAGCTCTAACTCACACCACAGATCAATAATATTCAGGTCTGGGGACTAAGATGGCCATTCCAGAGCTTTCTACTTGTTCCTCTGCATGAAGGGCTTAGATGTGGAGTAGTGTTTAGGGTCGTTGTCTTGGTGACAGATCCACCCCTGTGAAGCTTCAGCTTTGTCACGGATTCCTGGACATTGGTCTCCAGAATCTGCTGGTATTGAGAGGAATCCATGCTCCCCTCAACTTTAACAAGATTCCCAGTCCCTGCACTGACCACAGCCCCAATGAAGCTGGCTTGTCCAAATGTGCTTCAGCATACGTCAAGCAGCTCTGCTTGTGCTGTGGGTGGAGAAAAAGCTTTCTCTGCATCACTCTCACATACAGCATCTCCTTGTGTAAAGTGTAATAGTTGAACGATGCAGAGTAGGTCCATCTGAAGCAAGATGATGTAGGTCTTTAGTGCTGGTCTGTGGGTTCACTGACTGTTCTCACCATTCTTCTCTTCTGTTTATCTGATATTTTTCTTGGTCTGCCACTTCCAGCCTCAACTTGAACTGTGCCTGTGGTCTTCTATTCCCCAATATGCTCCTAACTGTGGAAACAGACAGCTGAAATATCTGAGACAGCTTTCTGTATCCTTCGCCTAAACCATGATAGCGAACAATCTTTGTTTTCACCTCATGTGAGAGTTTTTCTGAGACCCTCATTTTGCTGCTCTTCAGAGATTATTCAAAGAGGAGGGAAACGTACAATTGCCCTGCTTAAATACCCATAATTGGATTCATCCGTGTATGGAGGTCAAGGGTCACTGAGCTTACCAAACCAATTTAAAGTTCCAATAAATAGTTCCAAAGGTGTTGGAATCTATAAAATAACAGCAGTGCCCAAATGTATACACCTGCCTAATTTAGTTTAAACCATTAATGCACGCTTTCTATAAATCCTATAAACTTTGTTTCACTTCTCAAACATTGCTGTGTGTGTCTCCTATATGATATATTCAGCAGAATTTTTTTTATTGTAACAACCCATTATTCATACACAAAAATTATGAAGCTTATCCAGGCTGTCTAAACTTTTGCATCCCACTGTATGTGATTGTTATAAATGTAATAAAGCTCTATACTTCATGCTGGGTGTGTTCATGGGCAATTACGGCTGTAGCATTAACCCTGAAACCCCTGTTTAGTAAATGCCTCGGTTTCAATTTCATGGTTCTTCAGTAAACTAACTTTCCGTATTTCTTTAAGCGCAAGATTAAAAGTTGATTCACCTCTCTGATCTCCTCGCACACAAAGGTGAACACCCAGAAGTACAGCACGTACTCTGAGATGGACGGACCAGAGGGTGGCGGAGGCTTGAAGTCCATCAACAGCACGTACGCATAAAACACCAGAAAAAGGAAGTACATCAGGACGTTGCCCAAAAATGAAGTGACTGGTGCAAACCAGAACTGGCGCCAACGGGAGATGATGAACGGACGTGGTGGAGTTCTGTAAAGTTCAGGGAAGCCTGTACAAAAGTAAAAGTAAAAACAGATGTTGTAACAATAAATGATGTTTACTCTTATTATGTTTCAGAGCAGACCTCTTAAACAGAACTGACCTTTGATGGTAGCAGAAGTGGGAGTACAAACTTCATCTGCTTCATCTTCACTAGAGCAACAAGAGAATTTTAGTTATTAGAGTAATTAAAAACTATTACAGTATGTATCCTATTACTTGTACCAGCCAAACCAAGGGCTGTCACTTCTGTCATAGCCTGAATAATGTTCTTTTCTAGAGGTAGTTTTTTTTTTATCAGCCTTAGTACTAACTGCATTTTTATATCCTCATGTGTGACTCACTTTAGACAAAAGCATCGGTCAAACTGCACTGTACAAAAATCACAAGTACCCTGAGAAAACCCACACATGCACAGAGAGAACATGCTAACTCCATGCAGAACACAGCAGAAAAAGCCTTATAGATTTACATTTGCTTGATGGCCGAGAAAGAGAAGACAGTCGTCCCATAATGACTGTCAGATGGACCGTCTTCTTGAGACGTCTCCTCCTCTTCAAGCTGGTCATTTGGCAATCTGTATGACACACTTTACATAATTATTTCTGCAAACTGTAAAACATTTAGAAAACATTTAGAACCTAATGATTCTGTAGGTTTGACCTGAAGGAGATGAGGCTGGTGTAGCAAAGGAACGGACAGAAGAAAGTGAGCAGGAGCTTCCACACATGTGTGTTCCTGTCCATGTCCCCCCACCAGATCTGGGACAGCAGAGCCTGGAGGACAAAGAGATCATCATGAGTCTTGGCTCATCTTTATCTTCATAACTTTCAAAAAGCAGTTAACCTTCTGTTCCCTTTAATAGATACAGGCACACACTTTGCTCTCTAGGACATATTTATTAGCTCGCCTAGACCATACTACTTGTGTTTAGGCACATTTCAGATGCTTTTATTCAACGCAACATACAAATTAACCAGAAATGCATGATTTTGGTTTGCAGTGCCCAGAGAAAATCCACACATGTGTGGAGAGAACATGCTAACTCCATTCTTTAAGGCTGACTTTGCTACCATGTAAGATAACTTAAAGGAAAAAAAAGTGTATAAAAGTCATCAACTTAGTCTGTTTGAAGTAGGCAGGAATGATTACCGAAATAATCGGGTTCAAATTTAGCACATTTGCAAAAATTGCATTTACAAAGTTAACACATACATTCAGGACATTAAATAAATCAAATGTGTACACTTGAGTGGACTAAAGATCATGAAAGTATTTATTTTGTATCTGGCAGCATATGCTGCTGTGCAACACACCTGTACTCCATCATGGCTGAAGAAAAGCCGTGCATCAGCTCCCACGCCCATCTGAAGGCAGGTGGTTCCTCCCCAGAAAGATGATTTTCTAATCAGCAGATCAAACGAGCGATTTTCATCGCTGCTGTAGCAAGAGCTGAAGACATCTGAGGGGAAACAAAGCAAACAAGATAAATCTGTTAGAAACTTTTAGTTCTTTTGCATACATTACTACAGACGTCTACTTAGGACGCCAGTTTTAGTGCATATAAACCTTCCCATGATCAGGACTAATCTCTATTAAACTACATGCTAACTTTGAGTTTTTTTTATTGTAAAGCCAAGTAGAGTTTATTCAGAGCATGATAAATGTTTACCTAAAGAATCAAAAGAAAATGAAAACACTAGTTTTTATTCAACTCATAACAATGTTGTTTTACAGATCTTTAAAATAAAATCTTTATTTTTCCACATTTTTATGATTATCGTCATCCCAAGAGTTGAAAATCTAGTTACTCTTCTCACCGTGTGCCAGATTCTCAAACTTCTGGGCCAGCTCTTTCATGGAGAGTTTGGTTTCATTCTCATTCTCCAGCCTGGACAGCTCCCTCAGCATCTTACATCCACTCAGAGCAGTCAGCACAGATTCACTTCTCTAAGAACAAACAAACAAGGCAGGGGTGACAACTCAAAGAGAAATTAAAATATTATCATAGGACCATGTTTAAGAGGGAAGTAGATAGCCTTTTGTTCCTCTAATCGTATCAGTTCATAAAACGTGTATTACGTCTACAACCAGTAGTCTGCAGCCACACCATTTACCTGCCTGGCAAACACAACAGAAGAGTAAGGCAAACTGATAAATTAGGTTAAACAATTTATGCATTTGGTATATTCTCTTCTTAAGAGTAGTTGATGTGTGCATGTTTCCTTACATACAAACACACATTTAAAAGGTATTTATTCTTAGCTGGAGTTGTCATTATATTGTTTTAGTTGTTTTATCAACAGAGGTGTGGACTCGAGTCACATGACTTGGACTCGAGTCATTATTTTAATGACTTCTGACTTGACTTGATAAAATCTATAAAGACTTACAACTTGACTCGGACTTGAACGCCAATGACTTGCGACAAAACGACTCGTATCTGTTGACTTGAGCACGTTTGATATTTTAGCACAAAAGTGGCTCGACATGGACAAAAATCATAAATCATTCTTCATTTTGGGTTTGATCTTGTACAGCTAAATGGAGCCGCACTTTGTTTAAAATCAATTTCAGTTGCACTTCCTGCTTGATCTTCTCAGTCCCTACACCCCCAGCAGGTCCCTGAGGTCCAGTGATCAAAGCCTACTGGTTGTGCAGCACCAGGCTAAAGACCAAAGGTGACAGATCATTTGCTGCTGTGGCTCCCAGACTCTGGAACTCTCTCCCCCTCAGCCTGAGATCAGTGGACTCCTTTAAAAAGCAGCTGAAAACTCACTTGTTCAGGCTGGTTTTATGTGACCTTCATCACCCTCTCCTTATTCTGCTCTCCCCACCTATTCCACCTTATGTTTATGTTTGTTTATTCATTTGGCAGACGCTTTTATCCAAAGCGACTTACAATTTATAACCTATAGGGCATGTTGTGATCTGTGGGGGAAACCGGAGTACCCAGAGGAAACCCACGCATGCATGGGGAGAACACGCAACACCACGCAGAAAGGCAGCAGCCGAGTTTCAAACCTGCAACCTTCATGCTGCGAGGCAACAGTGTTAAAACAACTGCGCCACACAATGCACCTTCCTCAGGATCCACTGATTTCCCTTTTTCCTATTTAGTCTCTCTCTTTCTTTACATTTTTGAATCACAATTGTCTATTTTTGCTCATTTAAAACATATTTTTAATCATTTTCTAAATTCTTTTTTATATTTTAAAATTTTTTGTTTTTGTGAAGCGCCTCGTGATTTTTATCTCGAGAGGCGCTACAGAAAAGATCTTTTCTTCTTCTTGTTGTTTGAGCAAATAAATTAGGCTTAAAGAAGCTTTATTTCTGGAATTTATTTATTATCATTATCATTAAATTGAAGTTGGACAGATGACTTGATTATGACTTAAAAATTCAAAGTCAAGGACTTGGACTTCCACATCATTGACTTTGGACTCGAATTGGACTTGGACTTTACTTGAGACTTGACTGGAAAGACTTGTGACTTGAAAAGCAGTGACTTGGTCACACCTCTGTGTATCAGCATGATCAGGAAAAGTACCTACTATTAACTATCACATAGTATGGAATTTCACACCCCTTCGTGATCTGACTGAAGACACCTTTAGTCCACATGATGTGTCACATTCATGCCAATAATCAACAAGCTGTTTTTGACAAAGTTTGCTTCATGTCTCTTGTGTTCTTTAGTATTATTTTTGGATGTACCTTGTTCCATTTGATGTTTTTACTCTGTAATTGTTAAACTACATGTTTTGTTCTGTTTTATAAAACAAAAAGTAATTCAATAAATTATTTAATCAAAACAACTCCATGTTTTCTGTCTCAGAGTTTTTACCATCTCCCAGAAGAAAGTCGCCATCTCACAACGGTTCTGCAGGACAGCCCAGATGAAGAGTGAAGCCCAGGGGGACTGGCAGCTTTCATTTCTATATGCACAGTCTCCAAGCAGCAGTTTACTTGCACGCTGAGAGGAGCAGAGAAAAACGTAAAGAGTGAAGTGATTATGGTCATAAGTTAAAAATTAAAAGAACAAAAATATGATTGTTGTCATTTTACAGTATAATACCTTAAGCGCTTTCCTCTGGGATACAATATCCTTTAAGTTCAAAACATCATAGTAGAAGGGCTGACAGACGTCACCCGTTAATGATTCCAGGACTTCTGAAACCTAAAAAATGTATTTAAAAAAAACTAAAAGTTTAGCCATCAGGAGTTGTTCCTTTTGTTTTACATCATTTCAAATGAGCAAAAACGGCCAACAGAAAGTTTTATACATAAGGGGGAAATGTCACCTCAAAAAGAGTGATCTTTCTCTTTGGTTCACTTGATGGTTTCTCTGTTGTCCTTTTGGAGAGTGACTCTTGCACATTAGTAGCTGATGCTGACATAGATATAGATGTTGTAGGTCCAAGCCGTAACACCAGATGGTCCTGAAGTAGCTGGTATAGCAGCGTTCCTTTAGCTACAGAACAGTAAAGCTCCTCCAGCCGACCATAGCTCAGATAGTCGTGGATGTTAAAGCCATTTTCAGTAAAAAGACGGACAAACTGGGGCTTGTCATTGATCAGGACATCAGTCATGGATTCTTCCAAATCTTCATGCTGTTTAATTAGAAGACGGGGTAATTGTTAGACAGGATTATTTATTTAACACCAGTTCTGCTGTTGTTCAGGGGTATAAACTACTGCATCCCTGCCACTTTAACTGATAACCAAATCTACATTACGTGTCTACTTTAGATTGTCTGAATGTCCTCACCTTCCACTGGATGTCTCCATTAAAGAGTTCACTCTTTGCTATGTCCACCCTGTTCCATGTGACAGCTAGCTTCAGCTGTTCATAGTAGGGGCTGGAATCGACTGATCCACGGTGCTTACTTGCTAAAAAACCAAAATGAGAAAGGACTACTTTGGTATATATAAAATGTGCATATGCTTTACAAGGTAAAACTCAGACAATTCGAATATGATGCAAATGTCCATTTTTTTGAGCAATTCAACTTTGACTGAGAGACCATTTAAAGCTGTTATAGCAAATCCGCAAACAAGCTAGTTTTTTAATGCAAACACGGTCACGGAACACTCACTCCTCTCCTCGGGTATCTTCCCGGGATCCGCTTCCATCAGAACTGGTAACCCACATTGCCAGAGGACATGAGGGAGCGCTAAACACTAGTCGCCATTTTCTACGTCCAAAAGTCTTTTGTTGCCCATGACTTCAAGTGGTGTTTTACTTTTGGGGATATACTAAAGTTGACGTGGTATAGCCGATTGTTTCTCTTTCTCTGATATTATTGAGCAGTGAACCTCTCAAACCAGTGGTGTTCTGTTGTTAAGTACACAAGTGCGTATGAATGGAGGACCCAGGGAAGTGTGGTGGGTCAATAGTTGCTTTCGGTCCGAAACATGTTATTGGTGGAGGTTTTTTTTACTTGAGAAACACTTTAATATTTTGGTTTGTTCTTTGTTTTAATCAACATACAGTAATTATAGCTATACTAAATTAGAACTTTAACAGGCTTGAAAAAATGTTTTAAGCCAATTTGTTTTCCTAACTGGGCTGCACAGCGGTGCAGTGGTTAGCGCTGCTGCCTTGCAGCAAAAAGATCCTGGGGTCTTTCTGCAAGGCGTTGGCATGTTATCCCTGCATGGGTTCTCTCCGGGTACTCCGGCTTCATCCCACAGGCCAAAAACACACCTGATTTCAATCAGCAGGTGATTAACGGGCTTCTGCAGAGCCTGATGAGCTGCTGCACAGGTGATTCAACCATTGAATCAAGCCTATTGGAGCAGAGGAACCATTAAATGTGCTGGATACTGGCCCTCCGGGACCAGAATTGAATGCCCCTGCTGTAGGTGACTGGAAGCTGGATTGTTGCTGTGACACTAGAGTTTTCGCACTGTGGGACAATAAAGGGATTTACTGTTCTAATCTATTTAAGCTAAAACTTTAACTCACCTCCTACCAATGCTTTGAGTAACACTGTGTCAAAATCCGTTGGGCTTTCCTGCTCGCCGTGGTAGACTGTGATCAAATCTCTGTTCTCGTAGATGCTTAGAGCCTAGAGACAGAAGACAGAACACAGGAAAAACTGAAATCTTTAGAGATAAGAGCACAAAACTCGATGTTACGGACAGTTAGACTATAAAAACTGATGAGAGGTGTATAAATACCTATCTTCTTTTGAATGACATTAAAACTGTAAATGTAAAGATCTGGACAGTCCTCACTACACTGGACTGCATAAACGACGCCACTGAGCTTCTGTGGGCGTTTTGTCTTTTGGATGGACCAGTTTCTGTCTGAGGATGTTGTTGGGTTTGACATTTACTGAGATGTTGTGTTTGGAGAAGATTCTTCTAAGTTTCTCTGAGACTCCTGCCACGAATAGGATGGTGGTGCCTTTGCGCCTTTTGTCCTTTTCTTTGCTGGTTGCTGCTGTGGATGCTTTTCCAGAATTCTTTGTCGATTTCCCAAAAGCCCAGTCAGGGTATTTGCAGTTTTGGAGAGCTTTCTTGATGTGCTTCTCTTGCATTTGTCTTCCTTCAGTCTTTCTGGAAATTATCTCAGCCCGAGGGCGAGGAGTCCTGATGATTGATTTTCTGTAGCTGAGGGTGAGACCACCAAGGCCCCCGCCTTTGGCTACCACCCAACTTACATAGCAATCAACTCTAATTGAGCCTTTGTTTAATCCGGTACATTCAGGTTAAAAAAACATAATGCATGCACACGCCAAACCCATTTTCAGTTTTAATACTTAAATCTTTTCATCCCCATTTTCATTTATTTATCCCATCCTACTTAAGTCACCCCTGAGGTTTTCCAGAATTAGGTCATAATGGCACTACCTTGAGCAGAGTTACCCAGACCTCCTTCTACTCTGATACCTCCTCCAGTTCCTCTGGAGGTGTTCCCAGGTTTTTTAGTGAGATCTAATTCTTTCAGCAAGACGTGGGTCTGCCCTAAAATCTCCTCCCAGTAAGACGTCTGAAACGTCTCACATCATGAGGGTATCCATAAAAAAATCCTCAAACTACCGGCTTGCATTTATTGACCTCCCAAACTACAAATCTTCTTACTCTATCCCTGAAGTTGAGTCCCGCCACTCAGCAGAAATAGCAAATGGCCTGTATGTATATAGCGCCAGTATTTTATATAGTGATAGTGTGGATGGACAAGCTAAGGATCTATCTGGCAAGTTGAGTGAAATAATGAGTGTGTGCCCACTTATAACTCTAAGACCACTATTAACATTTTATGGACAGTACATTTGTCCATAAATGGAAGACAAAGAGGAAGCACTAGTTTTTAATTTCAATTTGTAGTCACTTCTTGTTTAGAAGAACATCTCAGAAAAATACACGGTTTCTGCAGTACCCACCTTTTCAACGAGTTTGTCCGTCGCCTGTTCGGCAGGAAAGTATTTCTTCACTTGTTCTGTCACTTTCTCTTTCAAATCCACATTGGTACTGGCCTCACCATCACCCTTGGTAGAGGCTGAAGACAGGTTGTTCAAGAGATCACTCAGGAAGTCTGCAGTGCCACCTGAACCAGCCAGCACCAGCCAGGGAATGGATTTCTTCAGAGAAAGATCCACTCTCTGGGAAAAGTCAGGACATCAATAATTCAGTGGTAAATCAAAAAGTTTATTCTAAAACCCAAATCACACAATTTTCTTTCTGTCTGTAACTCTACCTCAAGTCTGCTTGCCTCTCCTGATATCAGCATGCAAATGACAGGAACATCGATGCTGCCACTGCCTGTTTAAAATGACACCCAAAGCATTATTTTTATGTTCACTTTCTTGGACCAAAGGAATATAGTTACATGTGGCACAGTAGGTCAACTATTTAAGGGAAAACACACTCAGTGCTTTCCCCCATCTTTGGGGTAAACCTCTAGCCTAGAAATACAGACAAACCGTGGAAGTAGAAAAGATTTTGCTGGAGCTTAGTCTAGCCACGCCCCACTGTAGGGTTGGACATTGTTTGATTTTGAACGATTCGGATTCCAATTTCTCGTTTCGATTCCGGTTTCTATCGATTCCCGATTCCAATTCTTTCAAGACATTCCATGTTTTACATGAGCCAGCTAACCACAGGTCCTACTTGATGAAATAATCTTAACTTCAACATGAATTTAAATTCTATGAACAATAATATCACCTTCAATTAGACAAAACATGTTTTGGAGAAAAAAAGAAAAAGACTTGCAGCACAACCAGTGTGTTTGTTTCTGACCACAACCAAAGTCTGGAAGAAGCCTTTGGGATGAGAGGCTAAATGTCTCTAACATATCCAGAAACGTCCAGCTGTTTTCAGCTAAAACTCTCAGGATGATCATGTCCAGGATGACTGAGAACTACACCTCCATGCTGCAGCAGCTTCAGTCAGAACAGAAAATGAAACTTAAATGTAGCTGCTGTCAGTAACAATCTAACAGATTTTAAACATTAAAACTCTCAACAGAAATAGTTCAGAAAGGAAATTAAAATGTTCACAACTTTGTGTGTGATTTATTATTATTATTATTATTATCTATTTATTGTGGCAGAAGCTGGTGTGGTCCACCAGAGAAAGCTGCTCTAGCATGATGACTTTAATTATTCTATTGTTCAGCCTTCTGACGCTCACGCTCACACACACACGCTCACACACACACACACACACACACACACACACACACACACACACACACACACACACACACACACACACACACACACGACTGTTGGTGAGTGGCTGCGTCTGACTGCTGATGCTCTGTGTGTGTGTTTTTATTTCTGCAGTGAGGCAAACTCACCTCACACCATCCAGAGTTTGTTCTTTAAAGCTTCATTTAAATCAACCGTGTGACGTATTTTAACAAGTTTCCTCTACGCTGCAGGAGTTAAAGTTAACATTATGGAGTAAAAGTTCGGCAGACACGTTTCTTTACATCTGGGTGGGGGGTGGGGGGGGGGACTCAGTGCTGCACACAGACAGCTGGTGTGGTCAGCTCTGAAAAGCGTGGATCACAATTTGCAGATCACGTTTATTTTTCACGGAGATCGGCCCTGGATTCCTCTTACATAAGCATACTAGGAATCAAAACTAGGAATCGAAATAAAAAACTTTGAACGATTCTGGGAAAAACTAACGGTTGATCCCGGTTCCAATCTATGCTCGATGCCCAACCCTACCCCACTGCGACCTCAGCAGGTCTACCATTGGCTGGGCTAAGTGTAGGCTGGGACAATCACAACACTGTTTGCTGACAGATGTTAGGGGAGCTTAGCACCATTAAAGCAGAGTGTTTTTTTTTCTTTACGATGACAGCTGAGCTACGACGGCATAAAGGCGGTTGTTGGAAACGGCTTTGGCATCAACTTTGAACAATTTAGACTTGGGTATTTATTTGGGCTTTACTTCTTATATGCTCCATTGACTGATCTGTCTCTATAAATATGTCACACTCTTGGTTGGACTCCAAGGTTACATGCATGAGCAATGAGATTATTGGGAACAACTGTGTGAATATTCCTCACCCGTGCGCTGATGGGAGATGTAGTTCTCCAGTTTAGCTTTGAATGCAGTCTCTCTTCCTCTGCGGCCCACGGTCCCATCATCCACCAGCAGGAAGGCCCTGTAGTTGTTGTCCAGGCAACAGGAGGAATCCTGAGATGAGTTCTGCACATTGTATTTAGCAGGAAAGCTGCCCTGTAAAAGGCAGAATCAGGGTTAGTTTATTCCAGGGTTTTGCATTGAAGATGCAGCATAATCTACACTTTTCTTCTTTTATATAAAAATAATTTGTATTCATTTTAATGAGTGTGAAGTGGCTGGGATGGGATGGCTCAGCTCATCTGAGTGTAGTTGAGTTCCCCGCCAGCTTCGTGGCAGAAAGTAGGGGCACCCCTCATAGGCAGGTGGGTGAAGCAGCAGGAAGGAAACTTTGGAGCAACCAGTGACTTTGCCCCCTAGCCAATCAGCAGCCATAGTCGAGATGCTGGCTCAACCCAGCCTTGCCAGGAACCTCAATGGAGCAGGGACTAAAAATTGGGAAATCAAACTGTGCTCTTGGAAAAGGTGGTCTCTTTGTTAAGAAGCTATTCCATTACAAAAGTAAAAAAAAATAAATGTGCAAGTTTCTGTCCAACCTTAGAGTTGACGAGTTGTCTTCTCTTGTGCACCAGGCCCCATGAAGCGATGCCCAATGCCACCACCCTGTTGGAATATGAAGAAGCTGCAGCCGCAGCATGATCTCTGACTGCCTCTCCAACACACCTACTGATGCCTTCTCGCAGTCCTGTTGTCAGGATCCATGCTCCTGGATGGGACATGATTCAATAACAAATTTAAGAAAACACTGGATTTTATATATATCTTAAGAGACAAGACCAGGGGCCTCCTGACTAAAACCCTACTCAAGCTTAGCATAAAGATTTACTGACACAATTTAATTTTCCAGCCACCAGCCCCTCCTGTCTGCTAACTCTCACTTGAACAAGCTGGTATAACCCTCCCACTGTCTTGATGGGTGACCCCGCGAGGAAAGTTGACCATTGAGCAGGATTGATGGTTTATCCCTTGAGGTCCACGTGGCAGGGGTGATGTGGTGCTCACTCCTCTCCCCTGCCATATGGACCCAAGGGATAAACCATCAACCCTGCTCAATGGTCAACTTTCCTCATGGGGTCACACCCATTAGGACAGTGGGAGGGTTAAGGAAACCAAACAGGTGCATGGTTTGTTGGGTTGTTGTGCGTCAACCCTAACCCTCTATGAATGGATTAATGAGTGTGCAATCAGTGTGTCTGCTGGAGTTGTTGATGAGAAAAAGGGGTGTACAAATGGGAGAAAAGAAAAAGAGACGAAGCTTGCAGGAGTTTGAGGAGAAAAAAGTGAAGTTCCTGTTGGATTAATGTTTTTTTCTGTGACTGTAATAGACACAAAGACTGGCTAAAGCCGTGGTGTTTTACAGTCACACCCAGAAGTGGATGAATGGATTGAAGTGACAAGGGATATCTATAGTATGGAAAGGCTAACCTATGCAATTAACCTGGATTTTCCAAATTTCACCTTCATTTGGAAAAGGTGGCTGCGATATGTTGAACAAGCTGGAATCTGGTGGTGGTTTTTTTTGGGGGGGCTGGGGGGGGGGGGATACGATGTTACTATAGGATTTCTAAACTTGCATGTAAGAGAATGTATAAACAAATAATGTATAAACGAATGAATGACAAAAAAGTATTGCTCTAAAGAACCCACACTATATTAATTAAAGGGATGATAAATGCACCATTCAAAGATCAATGTTTGTTATTTTTATTTTTGTGAGTGTTACTGTTATTTGTTTATTTTTTACTCATCTCACTTGTTACTGACCAGATATAGGTGTAAATCAAAGGATCTTTGCTGTTCAATGAAAAAGTTCAATAAAAATGTCAATTACAATATTTATATGAATCAGCCATTGCTATTGGCTATTGGCTCAGACTTGTGCTGTCAGCTGGTTTTGTGGTATAGCTGTAGGATGATCTTTGTAGACATCTTTGTGTGCATGCAGGAGTGGTTGGGTGGTAAAAACACAAATCTGTCTTCTACGTCCAGAATGTGTACAACAAAGCACACAAACAGAGGAGCCTCACCTCTTTAGGTCAAGACTTTGCAGTCCACTTATCAGAAGGACAAGGGATACACTTTGAAGATTACAATGGACACAATCTGGACAGAGAAGATAGATGGTTTGAGAGGGGAGTAAAGGAAGCCATCTATGTCAAATGAGAAAGACCAACATTAAACAAAGGAGGAGGCCTCGGGTTTCACCTTTCCAGCTTTAAACTCAATTCCAAAACAGTTTCAGTCTAGGTCACACCCGACTAATCAAAAAACATTCTAATACAAGGTCTTTAACAACATCAACGACTCATCAGGGTGTAGGGAGGAATGGAGGAGTTCATTTGTAGTTTCAGTTGATTAAGAAACAACAGACAACAAAAAAAAGAAAAAAAAAGAAACAACAGACAACTACAGTTTATAAGCACAACTCTCCCATATTCCAGTCACAATTTACAAAGCTCCGTCTTCCAGGAACCAAGGATGTCATGTTGCCTTCATTCGAACCCCTTTGGATTAAAGAGAAACTTCATGTGTAGATCCCAGACCCAAGATGAGTCTAATATCTGGATTACCCCAAATACCAATAGCTAAAGGCTCGATAGCAACTGAAAATATATGAGGCAACATTTGGCATCCCTGCCTGGTTCCACGGCTTAGGCCTAAATAATCTGAGAGTATTATTTGTGTGGACAGCAAACAGTGAAGAGGAATAAAGCAATTAATTTAGGCCAAAATTTACACCTTGACAACGTCTCAAAAAGGTTGTCCCATTCCACTCAAATGTTTTCTCAGCAGCCAAGTAAAGTATGTTTTGGTCAACCTTTTGGTTTGGCGAAGCAGGTTTGTACAACACATTAACCCTTTGATGCATGAATTATGAAATCTTCAACCATGATTTTTTAAACAATTTTTTTCATTCGTCTTTAGGTGTGAATGAAACAAATTTCAACAAATATTTTTTGTAACATTTTGTTAATTTACAAATAATTTATTACATGTCCACCTCAGTGGACAGCGTGCATTCTGAACATGAAATATGTTGGCTTGGCTTACTGAAGTCCAAATGGAGGGGCTCACATGCAATAAAGTCTTCAACAGCTGTGCTTAATAGCAAAAATAAATAAATAACAATTTTGAGTACCTGTCCACTGTAGTGACCATTATGCATCAAAGGGTTAAACAGTCAAGCATTTAAAAAATGACTTTACAAACCCTATCTGTCTAGTCAACTGTAGATGCACCTTCACTGAAAAAAGAGATTTTTGGAATGCTACGAACCACCAAATAAAACCATCTAAAATGTAACTAAATATATTAGTTAAAGACTGAGATTAAGAAAAAATTATTTAATTCCAACCAGAATACTCATTTTATTTTATATAAAACTAGAACCTAACTGTAATGATTACAACTTAACCAAAAAGTTAGTTCAGCACAATGATCTAGTTCTAACCCAAAAACCATTTTATTTAATTAACCAACAAAACCCAGTTGTAATTATTAGAACTTAAACAGAAAAATTTGTTCAGCACTAGATCACACTTTGCAACATAAAAAATTACTCAATAAAAAAATCTAAAATGTGACTAAATATATTAGTTAAAGAAGTTGTCGATGGTCCTGGGCTCTCAGGTCCGTGTCGAGAAGGGACCGTCGACAATGTCCTGCTGATCTCCGACCGTGGAGCATGAGCTGATGTAAAAGGCCATGGCGCCCAGCTACGATCATAGCGGTCTGAGGCTCTGCTTGTTATTTAACAGTCCCGGTCCATATTAGATCTCCACAGGCGACCAGCACCACTACCACATGGGTATTTCTCAATGTCAAGGTGCCTGGCCTTGCGAGGCGATGTCTTGCGAGGCCAGGCACCTTGCTTACGGCCACTGTCCTTCTCTGGTCAAAGAAAACGGCCCACGGTGGTCACGTAACGTCACGTGACACGCACGGGAGACAACGTTATATTTTATACGTATTAATATATATATATATATATATATATATATATATATATATATATATATACACACACACATATATACACATATATATTACTGAAGGACATTAAGGTTTTTTTACACCATTTTAACATAAATTAATATAACCAAGATAACCAAGATGGCTGCTGTGGTGCAGACACATGATTTGGCAAGTCCTACATGTTTGCCAAAAAAACTTGAAAAACAATCCAAAAAAAGAAAGAAAAAGACCTTGGATTACTCCATCAGCATCCTGCTTCATATTGTGGATAACCTATTATCTTCTCCTGAGCTCTGCTCTGCCAAGGAAAAAGATAAATCAAATCCATCACCCAAGCAAATGGAGTCAGCATTTGCTGTTTACAACAGTGCTGGACTATGGCCACGCCAGACTACCCCCAGATGAGCTGAGGCAGGAGACCACAAATAGACCTCTAAAGGGCTATTTTCATCATTTTCTAATACTTATTTTGGCTGGAGATGTTCAATCAAATCCTGGGCCTCTACCAGTTACTGGATTAGCCCCTCAGCTAGTTGGACCACTCCCAATGCTAGCTGGGCCTCTACCTCTGCTTGCTGAGCAAATGCCACAATTAGCTGTGAATTCATCTCCATTACTTGGGCCTCCACCATTACTGCCCAGACCTCGACCACTACCACCTAGGCTGATGTCATGGTTAGCTGGGGTTCCACCCTCGCAGGATGAGCTCTCATCTTCTCTGGGGCCTTCACCACTGTGGCTCGGGCCTCTACCATTACTAGCTGGGCCACCACCTCTGACAGCTGGATCTCCACCTCTGCCATCTCTGCTACCGGTACTGGCGCCACGGACAACTGGGCTTTCACCCATGCTGGCAAGGCCTACATTGTCATGGCCTGGGCTACCATCGCTGCTGGAGAGGTTTCTACCTCTCACCCTAATGGTTGGACCGCCATTGCTGCTACCTGGATTAACAAAGCCGCTGCCAGAATCACCACTGCTGGAGAGACTGCCATCTCTATCGGCTAGACTCCCACCGCTGCTGCCTGAACCAACATCATCTCTGCAACAACTGAACTACAATATGATCAACACCAGTAAGCCACAGTAAAGTGTAATGCAAATCTGTAAACCAAGAAACCCAGTGTTGAAAAAACACCGGTCTTTTAAGCTATTTCAGACTCTGAATTAAGCTAGAACAATATGGGATCCGCAATGTAAAAATAAAGGGTTGCTGGGTGGTCATTTGAATATACGTAGCATGGGCCCAAAAACAGAGCAATTGGAACACCTTCTTATCAGCTTGAACATAGAATTAATAGGATTAACTGAAACATAGCTTAAGCCATCATCTCCAGAAGCTGTTGTAACACTAGGGGGTTACAATGTTTATAGAAGAGAGACTGGAGGGAAAAGGGGGCAGTGTTTTACTGTATGTTAAGGATACTATAAAAAGTACTCAGATCATTACAATTGAGTGTGTTGGAGTTAATATTTCACTTTCTGTAGAAATGTGCTTCACTGTAATTTGTCTATATTATCCACCTTCTGCAAAAGTACGTTTCTATGACCAACTCAAATCTCTCTTAAAATGTTGTGATTTCAATAAGGAAGTTATCCTCATGGGGGATCTCAACATAAACTGGGAAAGTAAAAGTGATAGGAAAAAGCATAAAGAGATTATAGATCATTTTAATCTTACACAACTTATTAAAGACCCAACTAGGATAACATGTAATGGCACATAGAGACAAACTCCTTAAAAATTCAAAATCTGGCCTTAACACTGATAGATTAAATTTTACGTCAGTTAGAAATAAGGCAACACAAGTTTGAGTGGCAAGGACCAATTTTTTATGATGATGATTGAAAAGGCAAACGGAAATGGGAAACTAATTTGGGAAAATATTAGTAAACTCACTGGACAACCTAGACAACACAACAAACAAAGAACTTGAACTTAAATTTTATAACAAATTGGTATCTGAACCATTTGCTCTTGCATCTGGTTTAAATGAACATTTTCTAAATGTAATATATGAGATCTCACAAACTTTCACAAATCCAAATGGCACCCTGCAAAACTCAGGTAATGAAACATTAGACAGTGATCCAAATACTGGCATCTCATCTTCATCAGTAAACTGATTGATATCAATAGTATTACAGCATTAGAAGTCTCGAACATAATTTCCACCTTAAGAAATTCAAAGGGATGTCTTTAGTTTTGATACCAACTTTTTGAAGCGCAACAAAACTGGTCTTTTACAACCTATAATTCATTTAATTAATTTGTCAATTACACAGACAGTTGTTTCACAAGAGTGGAAAGTGGCAAATGTGATTACCATCTACAAATCAGGAGACAAAACAGACCCTGACAATTACAGGCCGACCAGCATGTTGCCTCATATTTCAAAAATTGCAGAGAAATGGGTGGCTAAATCTATTTTACAACAGTTGAACAGTGGTGATCAGTCCCTTCATCCTATGCAGTTTGGCTTTCTCTGTCACTACTCAGAGACAGCTGTCTGTGTTTTTATTGAAAAGGTTAAATCATACTTGGACAGAAATATTTGCGTTGATTTTAAAAGAGCATTTGACACAGTAAACCATTTTAAACTCACCTCAAGACTTGCAGCATTTAATTTTATGGATCACACAGTTAAATGGCTCCAATCATATCTATCTGACAGAAGGCAATGTGTACAGGTAGGTGACAGTAATTCACCATACCTTTATACTCCAGCAGGTGTCCCCTAAGGGTCAATTTTGGGACCATTGCTGCTTTCACTCTATGTTAATGACTTGCCAAACGTATGTCGAAATGTATATACCATTATGTATGCTGATGACACAGTCATTTTTACACACTCCAAAAGTCCTCAAGAGGCAGCTCAACAACTTTCAACTGCTTTAAATGACCTCCAGAAATGGCTAGAGGACTCGTGTCTTTGTCTCAACATCAAGAAAACTGTGTGCATGTTATTCTCCAAACCAACACCAAGACTGACACCAGCAAAGGTGTATCTGAAAGGAGAAGAAATACAAAATGTTGAACAAATCAAATACCTTGGGGTATGGTTGGACTCAAAATCATCGTTTAGAAAATGTGCAAAATATTATCAAAACTGTAAATTATGATTTGCGTAATTTTAAACATATAAGAGCGGCCCTGACAGATAAAGCAGCAGTCACATTTTTACATTCAATGATACGGTCACACATTGGCGATTGCATCACCAACTGGTCATTTACTGCCTCTTCTATTATCAAACCTGTTGAGTCCTGCTATAAAAGGGCAATGAAAATCCTGGACAAAAAGCCAATGTTGTATCATCACTGTCCAATTCTGGATAAATATTCTCTACAGAGTTTCCAAAATTTAAACATCTTAAATCTGCTTGCCTGGTCTATAAAGTCATTCATGGTCTAGCCCCTCCACCACTGAATGATTTTATTATTCAAAAGTCACATAGGGACTCTTCCAGAGTAACTTGAGCTACAGTTGGAGGTGACTGTGAGCTCCCTCTTGGGCGAACGGCATCTTCTCAAAATGTTCTGTCATTCCAGAGCTCGACTTTTTGGAACAGCATTCCTACTCAAGTGAGAGAGAGCTCAAGTTTTGTTACTTTCAAAAGACAACTGAAACTGTGGCTACAGGAAACTCAAAGATGCAATCAAAGATGATGCTTTTATTTGCTTTTACTCTTGTCTTTTTTGTAAAATATGTTCCTAACTGTTTTTGTCCTTTTATCTGCCCTCTTTTATCATTAACCTGACAGAGGACTGCAGATGGAAATTAGCCCTACAATCTGGCATATTTACAGTTGTATTGCTGTTCATAAATATGCAATGCCCTCTCTTTAAATAAAGGACTAAATCAATATTAAATAAATATAATGAGACTTACTTTTTAAATTGTGTTTATGTTTATTAAATTAAAAATTTAAGTGAGTTACTACCCGCCATCGAAACTGCAACTACTAAGCAACTAACCAACAATAGATAACTTCTTTGGATCTAAAACAAACATTTGAAATTAGTTGACTTACTTTTAAACTTGAAAATTGTCCTCAAAATATCTGCCAGCTTCTGATCCGCCGTCCATTTGAAAATAACACGGTGTCTTCTGGGTAATTTTTGATCAAGGCTAGGCTACAAGATACCTCCCGTGTATCCTCGCTCAGCTAGCTAAACGGCTAACAAATGGAAAACACACGCCTCGGTAGAACATGAACATTGGAACATGTCTTGGCGGTTCCCGATGACTTATCTCCTAGGCAACAGGGCGGGGCCAAGACATCAAGGCAAGGTTCCTTGGCATTGAGAAACACCCACAGCCTCGCACGGAAGCCAGTTGGCCATGCGGGTGGGCTACCCCAGTCCCCGGAGCCCCTTCATAGCTGTACCATTACACCCCTAGTAACAATGTCAGTGTAAGATGGACTCCAGAGCAATGAGAAATGTTGTTCCTGCAACTTGATGAAGAAAAACTCCACAATTAATATTTCTCTTTAAAAGGTTTTAACTAAATGTCTACAGTTCAAGTTTCTGTAATCAGACCATGCTGTGTGGAAACACGAATTAGTGTGTGCACCTATGAGTGATTGAGTGTTGAGCGTGATTTGTTTTGAGAACATTCAGTGACCTGTATCCCTGTGTGGCGCCTGCTCTGCGTAAAACTGTCAAGAGGAAATGGATATTGTTGCACAAAATTAGAGTCAGACCCTTAAAGTCTTCAAGCCATGTAGGGAAATGTGGTTTTAAAGATTATTCTGAATTTTAAATATTTTCCCATGGGACACACAAATAGAGGGACCTTAATTAGATCAGTTCTAGAAAAATTTTAAAACTTAAGCAATAAAATAGTTCCAATGTCTTTGCATTCTTAAAGGGATATTCCACTCAAAGGTGAAATTTTGTCTGTTGACATATTTGCCAGAGTTAGATAACTGGGGAAAAACGATTTGCAACCAGCCTAGTCATTCGACTGACCTGGTTGTACTACTTTAGCTTAGCATAGAACACTGAGTGAATGGATCCAACTAGCATTATGTTACTCATTATTTTCACTTGCAGTCAGTATGACTATTTAGGTCATCAAGCAAAATTGGGATTACTATTGAGTGATTTTGAGGACTTTTCACTCACATTGCTAGTATGATTCATTCACTTACTGTGTTTTATGATAAGCTAAACCTAAAGACATACAGGGTTGGGGTTAAACTGAACAGACTTGCTTTCCTAACATGATCGCAGAAGTTGCGGTCATGTGAGGCAAGTCTGTTCAATTTAACCATTTTCTTTCACCAAGGAAGGACAGTGTCCTCGTAAGCAAGGCGCCTGGCCTAGCATTACATCGCCTTGCTGGGCCAGGCGCCTTGACATTGAGAAGCACTCACTGTTTTCGGACTAAGCCACATTTAGGATGTTCCATGAGGTAAAGTTTTATGTTACACACGTTTCAAAATAAATGTATAATGAGCCTTTTATTTTTTCTATTGTGTGTATTGGTTGAATTAAATATGTAAGCGAGTTAGTACCTGCTAGCCATCCTAGCCATCATAGATAACTGCTTTGGATCTAAAATACATATCAGCTCATCAGCCTGATAGCTACAGTTAGCTGACTTACAATTAAACTGGAAATTTGCCCCCGAAGTAGCTGCTGGCTGCTGATTCGCCATCCTTTTGAAAATACTGCGCTGTATTCTGGGAAATGTATGACCAAGGCCAGGCTATGAGACACCTCCCGTGTGTCCTTGCTCAGCTAGCTAAACGGCTAACAAACGGAGAAGCCTCGGTAGAACATGAACATTGGAGGTTCCTGATGACGTATCTCCTATAGGCAACCAGGGCGGGACCAAGGCATCAAGGCAAGGTTCCTAGACATTGAGAAACACCCTGTGGCTCAGCTTTCATGCTGTGCTTACCTGCTCTTTGTGAAGCTTTTACAAGTCCCTGCCTGATGACCTCACGCACCCAGGTCTTCACCTTTGACCTGCCATCTCCTCCCACAACAGAAACCACCAGGTTTGGAGAAGGAAGACCCCAATTGTTCATCATCATATCGTAGACACTAGATGGTTGGGTGTCACATGACAGACGCAGAAACTGAATCACATAAGAGATAAATAGTGTCACAAGTAAACTAATATCTGTTAGCATTGAAGATCAAGTAAGCAAACATAAACAATGTGTAAATTTATGATGAGTGTTTTCTCAAGTGTAACAGTAGGTCAGAGATTACACAGATTAGAAATAATGACTTCTGCAGAAAGCTCTCTTGATAATAAACTCCAATTATTAACTAATTCTGAGATTATTGTTGAGCTCATCAGAAAAGCACCCACATGGCTGTGTCTCTTGCTGGTTCCAGTAAATTGCACCTCTCCAAAAGCATCAGTCGGGTATTCAGACGAGTGCTGGGCGCTGTCCCAGTGGTTCACTATGGCTGTGCTAAAGCAGTCCCCAAGAGCCACAGAGCTGTGGTCGACTCTCCTATTTCCACACTGACACAGCGCTCCATTACTGATAGAAGTAGAGAAAATAAGAGTGAGAGAGTCTGATCAACTTCTTACAACCATTTCACACAGAATCATGAAAAGCAGTACCTGGAAGAATCCTCTACAAAGGTGGAGCACACTCTCTTCTTGAATATCTTGGGAAACCAGCTCTGGAAACATTTCCAACAGATTTATAAACAGAAACATATGATGGATGTTTAAATATCCTGTCTTACCCTTTTGTTCACAAGGCAGAGTGTGGAAAAACTCATAAGTTATATATTTTACTCAAAGAAAAACCTGCTCTAAAGCCTTGAAACCAAACACCAGAATGACACTGATGACTACAGATACAGCTCAGGTTTCTAACTAGGCGTACTGATGACATGAATCCGATGATTACCAACATGACAAAGAAGCCCACCCAAACCAGGAAGAGGAATTTTTCACACTTTGTTGTGTTTTAAATCATCTCTTTCTTATAATATTGCAAAATGTGAAAGATTAATATCCCACTGATCACGTTAATAGCCTTTAGCTTTGTTGCAGCTCCCTGTAGGGTACATTTTCGGCTCACACAGATGCTTCTAACTTTCTGCCCGTTGTTCACAAATGCAGAACTGCTCATTCTGCGTAGGTCGTCGATTTATTACATTATCTTCTCAGTCTTCCTGTTTAAAACTGCAGAGTTCCTGCTGTAACAACAGTGCATAGTTCTGCATGGGCATGGCATGACTTGAATGTGACGGTCTGCTCAGTGCGTGCAGCGCGGAACACACTGTACAGCGACAAAGGAATGGAACGCACCCCACCGATGACCTCTTAGCGCTCTTACGTCACGAGACGGACCTTTTTAGCCGCACTTAAGATATCTAGAAGCTGTTTGTTTCCAAAAGCCTCCAGCTGTGTGTAAGAAGTTACACCAGCGACAACACGCCTAGCTGCACGGTGACATTAGAAACAACATTGCTTCACTGTTGGACATCTTCCATTTCCTCCATACGTGTTTCACTGTCTGCTGTAGCGTTACTATGTCATCACAATACACTAATATCATTATTATTGTTGTTAAAAACCATACCTACCTGGTCTTTGTCAGATGCTTTGCCTTTTTCTCCTCCCGCGTCCACCATTGTCTAATTTCCTCCTGATTCTGAAACAATAATCAAGGTTCAAGCTGCTTTCTGTCCATTTTCCACGACTAACTTCTCATTTCCTGATTGTGGAAATGTAAGGTACAGCCCAGAGGTGAGGGCGTGGTTTCAAACAGACAGACTGCAGATAAAACAGGTGCAACTTCAAAGCATTTCACCCGAAATATGCATGGCTGCTGGTATCCCAGCTAACAGGGAACGTTCCCATAACTTTCGCTAACATTCTTTAAAAGTTTTTTTAATGTTAGTACATAACGTTGTTAAAGTAATGTTTTCAAAATGTTCTTTGAACGTTATTAATGTTGCTGTAACGTTGACAGAAAATGTTCTTAGAAGATTGTTATAAGAACGTTGTAACAACATTATTTCTGCATGATGAAAGTTCTCATAACGGTGATAGGAAACGTTTTTATAACAACGTTCTTTGAACGTGTATATAATGTTTTTGTGATTGATCAAAGTTCTCAAAATGCTGAAAGAAAACATTCCTAGAACCATGTTCTTGTAACGTCTTTACAATGTTATTTATGGTTGATGAAAGTTCTAACAATGTTTGTAAGACAACATTCTTTGAACCACATTATTGGAACGTCTTAACAACGTTATTCATGACTGATGAAAGTTCTAACAATGTTTGTAAGAAAACATTCTTTGAACCACATTATTGGAACGTCGTAACAACGTTATTCGTGACTGATGAAAGTTCTCATTATGTTGTTTGAAAACATTCATAGAACCTTATACTCGGAACGTTTTCACAACATTATCTGTGATAGATGAAAGTTCTCACAATGTTGCTGGAAAACATTCTTAGAACCACGTTCTTATAATGTATTTACAACGTTATTCATGATTGATGAAAGTTCTCATAATGTTGATAGAGAACATTTTTAGAACCACATTCTCGGAACATGGTAACAACGTTATTTATGACTGATTAAAGTTCTCTTAGTGTTGTTAGAAAACATTCTTAGAACCACGTTCTTATAATGTCTTTACAACGTTATTCATGATTGACGAAAGTTCTAATAATGTTGATAGAGAACATTTTTAGAACCAGGTTCTCGGAACATGGTAAAAACGTTATTAATGATTGATTAAAGTTCTCTTAGTGTTGTTAGAAAACATTCTTAGAACCACGTTCTTATAATGTCTGTACAATGTTATTCATGATTGATGAAAGTTCTCATAACTTTGTTAGAGAACATTTTTAGAACAAGATTCTCGGAACATGGTAACAACGTTATTTATGATTGATGAAAGTTCTCTTAGTGTTGTTAGAAAACATTCTTAGAACCACGTTCTTATAATGTATTTACAACGTTATTCATGATTGACGAAAGTTCTAATAATGTTGATAGAGAACATTTTTAGAACCACATTCTCGGAACATGGTAACAACGTTATTTATGATTGATTAAAGTTCTCTTAGTGTTGTTAGAAAACATTCTTAGAACCACGTTCTTATAATGTCTGTACAACGTTATTCATGATTGATGAAAGTTCTCATAACGTTGTTAGAGAACATTTTTAGAACAAGATTCTCGGAACATGGTAACAACGTTATTTATGATTGATGAAAGTTCTCTTAGTGTTGTTAGAAAACATTCTTAGAACCACGTTCTTATAATGTATTTACAACATTATTCATCATTGACGAAAGTTCTAATAATGTTGATAGAGAACAATTTTAGAACCACATTCTCGGAACATGGTAACAACGTTATTTATGATTGATTAAAGTTCTCTTAGTGTTGTTAGAAAACATTCTTAGAACCACGTTCTTATAATGTCTGTACAACGTTATTCATGATTGATGAAAGTTCTCATAATGTTGATAGAGAACATTTTTAGAACCACATTCTCGGAACATGGTAAAAACGTTATTTATGATTGATTAAAGTTCTCTTAGTGTTGTTAGAAAACATTCTTAGAACCACGTTCTTATAATGTCTGTACAACGTTATTCATGATTGATGAAAGTTCTCATAACGTTGTTAGAGAACATTTTTAGAACACGATTCTCGGAACATGGTAACAACGTTATTTATGATTGATGAAAGTTCTCTTAGTGTTGTTAGAAAACATTCTTAGAACCACGTTCTTATAATGTATTTACAACGTTATTCATGATTGACGAAAGTTCTAATAATGTTGATAGAGAACATTTTTAGAACCACATTCTCGGAACATGGTAACAACGTTATTTATGATTGATTAAAGTTCTCTTAGTGTTGTTAGAAAACATTCTTAGAACCACGTTCTTATAATGTCTGTACAACGTTATTCATGATTGATGAAAGTTCTCATAACGTTGTTAGAGAATATTTTTAGAACAGGATTCTCGGAACATGGTAACAACGTTATTTATGATTGCTGAAAGTTCTCTTAGTGTTGTTAGAAAACATTCTTAGAACCACGTTCTTATAATGTATTTACAACGTTATTCATGATTGACGAAAGTTCTAATAATGTTGATAGAGAACAATTTTAGAACCACATTCTCGGAACATGGTAACAACGTTATTTATGATTGATTAAAGTTCTCTTAGTGTTGTTAGAAAACATTCTTAGAACCACGTTCTTATAATGTCTGTACAACGTTATTCATGATTGATGAAAGTTCTCATAATGTTGATAGAGAACATTTTTAGAACCACATTCTCGGAACATGGTAAAAACGTTATTTATGATTGATTAAAGTTCTCTTAGTGTTGTTAGAAAACATTCTTAGAACCACGTTCTTATAATGTCTGTACAACGTTATTCATGATTGATGAAAGTTCTCATAACGTTGTTAGAGAACATTTTTAGAACAAGATTCTCGGAACATGGTAACAACGTTATTTATGATTGATGAAAGTTCTCTTATGTGTTGTTAGAAAACATTCTTAGAACCACGTTCTTATAATGTATTTTCAACGTTATTCATGATTGACGAAAGTTCTAATAATGTTGATAGAGAACATTTTTAGAACCACATTCTCGGAACATGGTAACAACGTTATTTATGATTGATTAAAGTTCTCTTAGTGTTGTTAGAAAACATTCTTAGAACCACATTCTTATAATGTCTGTACAACGTTATTCATGATTGATGAAAGTTCTCATAACGTTTTTAGAGAACATTTTTAGAACAAGATTCTCGGAACATGGTAACAACGTTATTTATGATTGCTAAAAGTTCTCTTAGTGTTGTTAGAAAACATTCTTAGAACCACGTTCTTATAATGTCTGTACAACGTTATTCATGATTGATGAAAGTTCTCATAATGTTGATAGAGAACATTTTTAGAACCACATTTTCGGAACATGGTAACAACGTTATTTATGACTGATTAAAGTTCTCTTAGTGTTGTTAGAAAACATTCTTAGAACCACGTTCTTATAATGTCTTTACAACGTTATTCATGATTGACGAAAGTTCTAATAATGTTGATAGAGAACATTTTTAGAACCACATTCTCGGAACATGGTAACAACGTTATTTATGATTGATTAAAGTTCTCTTAGTGTTGTTAGAAAACATTCTTAGAACCACGCTCTTATAATGTCTGTACAACGTTATTCATGACTGATGAAAGTTCTCATAACGTTGTAAGAGAACATTTTTACAACCAGACTCTCGGAACATGGTAACAACGTTATTTATGAATGATTAAAGTTCTCTTAGTGTTGTTAGAAAACATTCTTAGAACCACGTTCTTATAATGTCTGTACAACAATATTCATGATTGACGAAAGTTCTCATAACGTTGTTAGAGAACATTTTTAGAACCAGATCCTCGGAACATGGTAACAACGTTATTTATGATTGATTAAAGTTCTCTTAGTGTTGTTAGAAAACATTCTTAGAACCACGTTCTTATAATGTCTGTACAACATCATTCATGATTGATGAAAGTTCTCATAACGTTGTTAGAGAACATTTTAAGAACCAGATTCTCAGAACATGGTAACAACGTTATTTATGATTGATGAAAGTTCTCTTAGTGTTGTTAGAAAACATTCTTAGAACCACGTTCTTATAATGTATTTACAACGTTATTCATGATTGACAAAAGTTCTAATAATGTTGATAGAGAACATTTTTAGAACCACATTCTCGGAACATGGTAACAACGTTATTTATGATAGATTAAAGTTCTCTTAGTGTTGTTAGAAAACATTCTTAGAACCACGTTCTTATAATGTCTGTACAACGTTATTCATTATTGATGAAAGTTCTCATAACGTTGTTAGAGGACATTTTTAGAACCAGATTCTCGGAACATGGTCACAACGTTATTTATGATTGATGAAAGTTCTCTTAGTGTTGTTAGAAAACATTCTTAGAACCACGTTCTTATAATGTATTTGCAACGTTATTCATGATTGACGAAAGTTCTAATAATGTTGATAGACAACATTTTTAGAACCACATTCTCGGAACATAGTAACAACGTTATTTATGATATATTAAAGTTCTCTTAGTGTTGTTAGAAAACATTCTTAGAACCACGTTCTTATAATGTCTGTACAACGTTATTCATGATTGATGAAAGTTCTCATAACGTTGTTAGAGAACATTTTAAGAACCACTTTCTCGGAACATGGGAACAACGTTATTTATGACTGATGAAAGTTCTCTTAGTGTTGCTAGAAAACATTCTTAGAACCACGTTCTTATAATGTCTGTACAACGTTATTCATGATTGATGAAAGTTCTCATAACGTTGTTAGAGAACATTTTAAGAACCACTTTCTCGGAACATGGGAACAACGCTATTTATGACTGATGAAAGTTCTCTTAGTGTTGCTAGAAAACATTCTTAGAACCACGTTCTTATAATGTCTTTATAACGTTTTTCATGATTGATGAAAGTTCTCATAACGTTGTTAGAGAACATATTTAGAACCAGATTCTCGGAACATGGTAACAACGTTATTTATGATTGATTAAAGTTCTCTTAGTGTTGTTAGAAAACATTCTTAGAACCACATTCTTATAATGTCTGTACAACGTTATTCATGATTGATGAAAGTTGTCATAACGTTGTTAGAGAACATTTGTAGAACCAGACTCTTGAAACCTGGTAACAACGTTATTTATGACTGATGAAAGTTCTCTTAGTGTTGTTAGAAAACATTTTTAGAACCACGTTCTTATAATG